TCAGACCCTTTTCTGATGAAGGGTCTAGGCCCGAAACGTCAGCCTCTCTGCTCCTATGATGCTGCTTGGCCTGCTGTGTTCATCCAGCCCTGCACCTTGTTGTCTCGGATTCTCCAGCATCTGCAGTTCCTACTATCACTGAATAAATAGATGCTGGTTTTATCCATGTGTGGCCATGTTTACTTGCCCAGGTCTGTGTTAGTATATGCAAGTATCTCTAAGTCCTGGCTATATGTCTGTGGGTTAACATGTCTGTTCTATCATGACTTTGACATGCACAGCACATACATCTAGATCTTCATTCTTTATGGTAGAATTTAAAGGAGAGGATGGTGGTGTTTCCCACCCACTGCAGAGCCACAAGAGCCTGCATTGCCTACTTTTGGGAAGGTCTGCTGTACTACATGTCAATTGGGTAGTTATCTGTGTGGCAACAGGCCAAGGACCCTGGGGTTTAACTCCTGTTCTCCCTGAGTACCCATTGTGGGCTGATTATTGTACATTGCTTGGCAGACCGCTGTGACAGTGGTGTCTGCTGTGGGTAATGAGCCAATCCGACGCCCAGCATTAGCTGGGGGATTGCAGGTCACAGGGTGGCAGTTGTCGGGGGGAGAAGCGGAAGAGGAGTCAGCAGCAGATGACACGCAGTGGACTCCTCCTTCCCAATGCCAGGTCCTTCAATCAGGTACCGAGTCCCCAACAAAGAGTGACCCCAAACTCACTACCACTTCAAAGCACACAGCAACTCACAGGGTTTGCCTTTGGGGCTTTCTGTATGACATGTCTTTTACCCGCCACTTGACCAATACCAATACAACGGAACGAGGCTGTTTAGTTAGGCGTTAACTGGCAACTTGAGAGCCTCAATTAGGAGTGGAGCAAGAAGGCCATCCCCAAGCCTTTCCTTGCACAAACAGAATCAGGGCATAGGTGGAAGGATGGTGAGATCCATAGCACTACCCTTCCGCTTGATCAAATACCCCCTCGGACCAAAGGGATAGAGGGTCAAATACTGCCCTTGCTGTGCAATTTTCAGGCAGAGAGTGGAAATTTGTGCTGGTCCTGAGAATAGGAAATAATGCAGATGGGGTAAATAATAGCACGTGATGTTAGAAATCGGATCTTGATGTAAGGATGGAAGCTTGCACTTCAGTTCTTGGAACTTAAAGGTGGGTCAAACTGAAGCCTTTTGCATGCATTTGACTATCATGCATGTTCATTTAAGACACCCACTCACCTCATTTAGGTTCCCCTTTCCAACTTCAAGCAAGCAGTGTGTCCCTCTGGTTCCTGACAGCATGTCAGTGATGTGGAGCAGGTGAGGCACTGTAAATGCTGGACTTCAAAGCGCGTAGCTGCTACTTTGACCTGTTTGAGAGCGTTTGTTTGTGCCATACCATGATTGACATTGGCTGGCACTTGCACAGAGGGAGACCAGTGCAGGGAGACTGCTGTGTAATGGGAATAGGTCATGGAGGCTGATCAGGGCAACAGGATGATGGAGGGGAAGGGAAACAGGCTCATTCGGGAAACATGGAAGGGTCTGAATGTTTCAGCCCTCTGAGAACCTGAGTGATGTTCTTGACTTGTAGAAAATGCATTGCCTTTAAATTTGGTGCCAAGACTTTCTACTCCATGAGGTCATGATGAGGGGTCGCATTGAGTTTTTGCCCAGCCCTGCCAGAAGATTCGCCGAGCACATCATACAATACATATGGAATATGCTGAGAACTGCATAATCGTGGAAGGAAAGCCAACCTGCCCCTGAACAGAGGCGATGCTTCCACACCCAGTGCCAAATTTAGACTGTGCAGTGGAAGATTCTGCCCAGAGTTTCATTAGAGGGTGTTGAAGTGGGATGACCAGCTTTTGTTGATGAATGTGCATGGTGTGTGAGACAGAGGAGAGGCTGTCTGCCATGGTACCTGCCAAGGAATTCGGCATAACAGCAGAAGCATCAGACTGCACCAGTGTTCAGACCCTGGTTTCCTAGATTATCTCTAAGTGTCAGGAGATAAAGTCCAAACTGAGGGACAGGGAAGAAGGTCTGTGCAACTTTAAGATAAATATGATAGAAATGTTTGAAAGGAAGGTTTGTAACCCACAGCAGACAATTGGTTCAAGAAAAGCACGTACCACTGATGCTTTCGGCCTGCAGACCCCTGTTGAATGCGTGTCATTACTAGCCTTTTGTTCTCTTTCTCTGTGATTAACTGTCATCAACATTTATCGTAGGCAGAATGCCGAACTGGCTAAATTGCGGCAGGAGTGTGCCAAACTAACCAAGGAGCTGAGCGAGAAGTCAGAGGCCCTCCAGCAGGACGAGCAGCAGAGGAAGGTTCTGGAGGGCAAAGCCAGCAAGTATGAACAGCAGCTTACTGAGCTTCAGGTGAATGAGAGCACATTGTCCAACAGTTTTGCTTGCATGCTATGCCATCCATACCCCTCAGTGAGCAGCTTGTGACTTCTGTCCTCCAACCTTCTTGCTCCCTCTGATTACTTTTTTCTCCGTGTTTCCAACCTAGCTGTCAGCTGTGGCTCAGTAATTGTGCTTTAGAGTCAGAAGATGGAGTATCATTCCAGGACTGAGTGAGTGCAGCACTGTTGGAAGTGTTGCTTTTCAGTTGGGACTTTGGAGTGAGGCATCTGCCCTCATGGGCCAATGAAAGATTCTAAGGCTTTATTTAAAAAAGAGCTGGGCAGTTATATGAACGTATGAATTAGGAACAAGAATAGGTCATTTGACCCAGAGCCCACTCTGTCATTTTGTAAGATTGTGGCTAATTTGACAATCCTATATTCCTGCCAATCCCTTTCACCCACTACTTCTTAACAAGAATCTATTGACCTCTGCCTTAAAAATATTCAAAGATGCTGCTTCCTCTGCTTTTTGAAGAACAGTTCCAAAAAATCATGACTCTCTGAGAGAAAATATCCTCATCTCTGTCTTAAAAGGTTGACCCCTTATTTTTAAACAGAGGCCCTTGGTTCCAGATTCTCCCACAAGAGGAAATATCCTTTCCACATACACCCTGTCAAACCTTCAGGATCTTATATGTTGTCTGCAATGTCTTTATTCTGAAAAAAATTCCTCCCCAAAAACAAATTATCTGCTGACTATTATATTGCTGTTTTGGGAGTTTGCTGTGTATAAATTGACATGCCCCCTATATTGCAACAGTGCTTACTCTCCAATGTACATCATTGACTACAAAGTATGTTAGGATGTGCTGTGGTCATGAAAATAATAAATGTAACTTTTTTAACCACTCCACCTCCATTTTTGTTTTACTGATCTCCCAACAAGATTGTTTTTAGTATTTTAGCCTCCACAGCCACTTTAACATAGGTAAACACCAGGAAATAGAGTTGTGACCATCCTAATGGAGTTCAGATCACCATCGGAGCTACATCTAGTCATAACTTTGTAACTTTGAAAGGAATAATGCAGGATCTTGTTGTGGATGTTGAAACAGGTACCTCACTGCATCTGACTCATTTTGTCAGACATGGACGAGGAGTACGCCAAATGGAGAAGGGAGTGAGCATTAACTAAGGGAGGGAGTGAGAGAGAGAGAAGCCCTGAAACTAGTGAGAGAGAAAAAGCACTCAAGTTAATGAGAAAGTCAGAAATACAAACTGAGGAAGAGAGAGAGAGTAAAACAGGAGAGAGAGAAATACTAAACCTGGAATGATAACGGGGGAAACAAACTAGAGTTGGAATCTTCCGGTCTTGGAGGAATCTGGCCTGGAGCTAATTAGATGGGATGGCGGCATTCCAGAAAACCAGCTTCCTGTCTCCATTACATTCAGGGCAGAAAGGCCCAAGCTCCACTATCCTGCTTTACCATTAATTGAGACCCTTAAGTGATCAATTGATGACCACCTAAGGGCAAATTATCAGCCGATTTGTGCCTGGGCTGCAATTATCTAAGCTATAGGTGGGAGTCTGCCCATCCGACTGGTAAACCAGTGCTGGCAGGCTGTGAGTTGGGGTGTCCCTTGAACTGCACAATATTTGCAAGATCAAGGAAATGGACATAGTTGGCGTTGAGAGCCTTTTCCTGTGCCACTGTCTTTTCCCCATGAACCCTAACCCAGAAAACTCGCCTCCCTATCTCTTTGGCCGGCAGCTGTTGCTGGGCAGGACTTCTGCCTCCACCTGACTGCTGCCCTCAAACTGGCTGATTGGAGAAAGTTATGTCAGGCTTTGCTCAGAAGAGGCAGGGCAGGGGTCCCACCACCCTATCAGCTAGCAAGCACGATGCCCAATGAATACAGATGGTTCCTTCCTAGGTTGAGATAGACAGCAAAACACAAGCTGTTGGGAGCGAGTAAAACGCAGACTGATGGACATGAACATAAAAGGGATGAGGGTGAGAACGCAAGAGAAAAATAAACTGGGGAGGAAGAAAGAAACATAAATTGGGGAAGGAAAGAGATGGAGAAACACAAACAGGGAGAGGATAGGTAGAGAAAATCACGCTGGGGCAAATAGAGAAATGTAAGGTGTGCAAGGAGGTGTTCATCTCTGTCATTCTTTGGTGCTATTATGAGTCTCAGGAAACTTTAGCAGTTTTTCCTGAGGACTGAACCATACTGGGCTCCAGTGATGGGATGTGGAAGTCTTGGAGCAGAAATAACTGGTTTTGGATTCACTCACTAGTTTTATATTTTATTGCGTATAAGAGTCATGTGATTAAAGTGTCCTGAACTGCCATGTGATTGAGCTGTCACATGACCAAATCTCCAAGAGAGTGTCACATCAAAATCAGCAACCCTACACAGGCTAGTGGAAACCTTTCCCCCGAAATGTTGGAAAGTCTAGGGTCAGTTGAACTTCTCAAAACTGAAATTCTCAGGTTTTTGTTGGGTAAGGAGAGGGGATATTGGAGAATTTGGAGCCATGGCGGGTACATGGGGCTCAAGTACAAATTAGCCGTGGTCTGACTGAATGGTGAAAAAGGATGAATGGTTTCCTGTTCTTTAGCCTTGCCCGTCCCATCGTCAGAGTATTCTAGAAACAGCATTGCTCCATTGCATGATTTGCTGAAATTATTGCCCTCAATATAGCTTTACACTGTCTCATTTGCAGTCAAATCAGCAAGAGACAGAGAGGATGTTACAGAAACGACTTGATGATGTTAGCGAGGAGCTTCGTAAGTCCCAGAGTAACTATTCCAGCCTGCTGACAGATACCGAGAAAACGAGAGGGGAACTGTGCACTACACTCAGTAGCTTCACCGGTGAGTCTATAGGTCAGGTGAGTGAGAGGGTTAAATCTAGGGGTAAAATAAGGCATTGTTCCAAGTCCCCTCATCCTACCCACCATTCCATTAGCTGGGAAATTCCTAGCAGTTTTCCAAAGTGTGCAGTTCTGGGAAATCTCAAGCACCAGAGTCTCACAGTTTAACTCTATGATTCAATGGTGTCAAAAAAGGTGAGATATTCTAAGAAAGTTTAAAGTTTGTTTAGGGATAATAGTCTGAACTCCCCTTTGCCCTCTATGCATCGATCAGAAATTATCTAACATATACTACACAGGATTCTCTGCCCAGTGATTGGCAGCATATTCTTCAGCCAAGCCCTGACCTTCCTTTGGTCTTTAGTGGTTGTTAAATGATTTGTGCATTTTTATGTCTTTGAACTACATGTTGGGCTATAGCCTCGAGGTGCATTAGGCACATTAACAGCACACTTTTTCCTATTCCTCTTGATTGCAGATCTTCAGGCTAAAATGGTATCCACAGAGGCTGACCTGAAGAGCAAAGTGGAGGAGCTGGAGAAGCTACACAGTCAGCTGATGGAGGCTGGCTCAGAGAAAGAACGTCTCGAGGAAAGAATCAAGTCAATCGAAGCTCTACTGGAGGCCAGTCAGAACAAAGAAACAGAGAAAGAACATCCAGTTCAGGTTAGGCGTCCTGTCAGGGACAGATCTTCTGTGGGAGCTAGTGATTTTGAAAATAAAGGAAAGTACAGTGTATTTCCCAAAATCACGACACTGCAAAGTACTTTATAGTAATTGCTACATTTTGTACATTACAACAGTGACTACATTTCAAAAGTACTTAGTTGGCTGTAAAGAGCTTTGACATTTCCAATGGTTACAAAAAGCACTGTAGAAATGTGAGTCCGCCTTTATTTCTGCAATGAAGTGTTTTTTTTTTGCTGTGTTGCCACTAGGACAATATAGGAAATTTTGCCCCCAGTTTCTACACAGCAAGCAGTCATGAATATCAATGAGATAATGTTTTTGTTATGGTAAATAAGGGAAAATGTTGGACACCAGGAGGACATTGCCATGATCTTTATTACATAGTGTCAAGGGATCCTTTACATGCATCTGAGATGCTGCAGGCCCATTATTTAAAGTCTTATTTGAAATTGGCACCTTTGTGGCACACAGTGCACAATGAGTGTCAGCCTAGATTTTGTGCTCAACTTTAACCCTGAATCACAGCAGATACTTGTAAATTGTAAGAGGGAACTGGTAAAGACTGGGACCTTATGGGAATGAAAATTATAAGAGCACAACACAGTATGAGAAGTTTTGATTTTAACACCATGAGGAAGAAGATAAATTGTTTTTAGAGCTTGAGATGAGGAGTGGGAGTGAGAGGTTGAGGTGTATATTATGCTAAAGGGAGCACAAGTAGAGATTAGCTTTATTCTAGTGCATTCATTATATTTCCATAGAATTGCACAGCATGTGAGGAAGCCATTCAGTCCATTGTACCTGTGCCAGCTCTTTTGGAAGAACTATCCCATTAGTTCCATGCCCATTGTTGTGTCCATAGTTCCGCAAATGTTACCCCTTTAAAATGAAGACACTTGCAAATGCTTGTTATCACTGGCAAATTGTCAGGCTTAGATTTAATGTGGTTAGTTCTGTTTTCCCTACTAGGTCCCTGAGCTGGTTTTCTGATGCCAAGCTATTCAAGATCTTTTGATGAGAAATGATCTGAATTGCAGCTTGTAGCTACACAAGATAGCTTACAAGTTAATTAGGCATTAAGTACAGAAAATTGATTTTACCGTAATCCTTTGATGTACAGGCCATGACATGTTGAAATTGCTTACTTTCTTTATCCTCTACTCTAATCCTGCCCCTCCCCTTTAACATAGATCATTATTAGAGCATAAGGACCAAGTGGTATCCTGATTGGTATGATTCTCAGCCAACAGTGACATTGTCGCCCATTTAATTCATAAATGTTCATATAGTACTTCCATTTTGTTACTTCCTTACAATCTCCAGCACAGACAACTCAAAAAAAACTCCAGTAAGACAGGTTTACAGTTACATTTTTGATGTACAATGTATGTATCTTGCGTAGACATAAACTATTCTGTTTAGAGCATAAGAACATAAGAAAATAAGAACTAGGAGCAGGAGTAGGCCGTCTGGCCCTTTGAGCCTGCTCCGCCATTCAATAAGTTCATGGCTGATCCTTTCGTGGACTCAGATCCACTTACCCGTGTTCTCACCGTATCCCTTAATTCCTTTATTGTTCAAAAAAAATCTACGTTTTTTTTAAAGGCATTTACTGAAGTAGCATCAACTACTTCACTGGGCAAGGAATTCCATAGATTAACAACCCTCTGGGTGAAGAAATTCCTTTTCAGTTCAGTCCTAAATCTGCTCCCTCTAATCTTGAGGCTATGCCTTCTTGTCCTAGCTTCACCTGCCAGTGGAAACATCCTCTCTACTTCTATCTTATCTATTCCCTTCATAATTTTATATGTTTCTATAAGATACCCCCTCAATCTTCTGAATTCCAATTTTGGGATATGTAATGCCGGGATGAGTTGGGTGCTTCCATCAGTTACAGAATCAGTGGTGCTTTCCTTGTAACAATGGAATTTTAAAAAAATTAACTGTACTCCTTTGATGAGAGAAAAGGAATGCCATGTTAGTGGCTGTGTGCTTTTGCTGCCCTATTGGATAGGATGTCCGATATCTCACTTCTGATATGTACAATAAAAGACTTTGCGGGAAAAGAGAAGTCGATTTGGAGATCACTTTAACATGCAACCCAGAGTGAGCTAAGCTCTGTCCACATGCAGCTACAGAACAAGTCTTTAATCAGGAGGAGACCTTTCCCTTAAAGGTGCCAATGTGGTTGAATATGTTATGGAGATTTAATTGTGTGACCTCCTATCTCTAATCACCACAGCCTGATACACCCACTGTTGGTCACACAGCACGTGCAGTAGCTGACTTTGTCCTGTCTTTAATCCACCCAGTGTGGTTTCTTAAAATAAACAAATTAAACTATATTCTTTGCGTAATTGGCTATTATCTTGTCACACCTATTAACCCAGAGTAGGGTGCAGAAGAAGAGTCATACCAGACTCAAAACATCAAATCTGTTTGACTCCATGGATGCTGCCAGATCCGCTGTGTTTTTCCCAGTACTTTCTGTTTTTATTCTATAATCTATCGCAACTCATGTCAAAAAAGTGAAGGGAAGGGATGACATGGAAGATGGGAGAGGCGTGAGGCTTGTGTTAAAGTAATGAGAATTGTTTGGACTTGCAGCAGCAGCAATTTAATCCAAAATTCTAGTCCGAAAAATCACTTCAATACAGTATCAATTCACATATTAATGTTTGGGGCATCGGCTGGCTGAAATGGAGGTTTGTGAAAGGATGTGTTCTGCAAAAGGTATTATGCCCAAACTTATTTTAATTTATTTTTACATTTCAGGCCACCCAACAGGAAGAACTGGAACAGTTGGGGACCAGGTAAGGTGCAGTTCCAAAGCACATAATTGAGAGTGAGAGTGCATGTGCCTGTGTGTGCATATGTGTTTGTGTGTGTGTGCATGCGTGCTTGAGAATGTACAGATGAGAGTGTACGGACAAGAAAACTGACTCGGAGCCCTATAATGTGGTCCACACTGTGGAGCAAGTGTTGAGCGCTGTATTGGTGAGGGTTTAGTGAGTTCCATCAGAAATGTGGATGGCAGGGAGATCAGAAAGCTTATAAAGCTGATTTAATGCCAGCAATGCTATTTTCAAGCTCAGCAATCCAGCAAACCTTCCCTCTCAACCTCAAACAACTGAACACATCCAGCAGCAGGAAGGATTCCACTATTTAAAGAGTTCATCAAGCATTTACATCCTACCAGTTGATTACTTCTGGCTGTGTTATAAGTGTATCATAGGCATGTTTTTATTGTTTTTTATTGTATTTTTAATTTGAAAAACCCTCTGGGTTTTTGAAGGACTTTTTGCTGACTTCAAGGATTCTGCACAACGATTGTTCTTGATGATTACTCCCCTGTTAGGCACTTTCCATGGAGTACTTAGGGATGACTTGGGGAAGACGAGATGCCACGTAGAGCAGGGAAAATTGTGAACAGCGCTTTCAGCAGGAGACTGTATCCGACCAGAGTTTTCAAGAAACAAATCTCTTCACTGGGTTCAGCAAGGGCTGAAACAATGAAACATCAGCACTTTTGGAAGCATGTGTGTCAACTTCTGCAGCCACTCAACCTCAACTCAAAAAGGGCAAGGACTGCATTCCCTGCGGTTAGGAAGATGCTTGTGATGATGACCGTTTCAACATCTGGCTCCTTTTGAGGCTGGAGCTAATACATTTGCAACATCTTGCAGCTTGCCACTGCTGTATGAGAGATGCCCTCCAAGGCTCTCAGTTCAAAGAATGCTAAGTACATTTCATTTTCTCTCGCCAGGGACAAACAACTGTGGGGGAACATGCTGCTTTGTAGGATGGCAATCTGCGTTGTGTTACAAGGCACCACTGGCTGCCCTCCCCCCACCCCGCAAATTTGCTTTTCAAATGCCACATGTCAAATTTGCCCTAAAACAGATCCAAAAAGAATTGCCCCTTGACTTTCCAGCTGCTGTGTGACTTCAGATAGATCAATGGCCAATATCCTGGCATCAGTCATCATTCCTGCATTCAGTGGCAGTATGCTGTGCTAGCTGCATTTCAGCCAACAAGACAAACTAAAGGATGGGTACGTGGTACCCAGGGCTATTTGCTCATCATCCAGATGGCTGATAACTAGACGGTGCAGCCCACATCACTGTGTGGTACGTGCATTAAATGGAGGCCATGCTGCTAAACACAGTATAATGGAGCAAACCACCGATGTGCTGAAATAACCCTTGCCTATCTGGATAGCTCTCAAGAAGCCTCGCAGAGCCCAGCAACGTGGACATAGAGAGTTTTAGCACAGACATGAAGGAGATCAACATCATGTCACCGCCATGAGAGGTACAGCAAGACACTGAGAATCAAAGCAGTAAAAGCATTATGAGAAAGGGAGGAGGCCACCTCGATAGCCCCCTTCTATCTGGGCTATCTGTAAGGAACTTGAGTTCCATTCCATGAACCGCATCCCCAGTCTCCTTTCACTAATAGTATCACACCTTGCAGTAGCCTGTAACTTGGCCACAGTGCTTAATAAAAGTTATTAAAAAACAACTTTCCAAACCAAATTTAGAAATCAAATCGTTTCCTATTCTATATGAACATCAACTAATCACTTTAATACATTCTGTTAGAGTTTGTTTTTTTTGTGTGCTTTCACTGCTGGAAAGCTGCTGTTTATCAGTGGAGTTGCCTTTAGTTGGCTCACAGGATAACCTCAACCACTAGCCTTGTAAGGCCCAACTTCAGACTGCAACTAGGGAGCAACTAGCCTGGTCTGGCTGGCAAACAGTTAACAACAAGGACACTGGCGGAGTGACAGATTCGGGCGGAATCAGAAGTTTTTGTGAGATGAGGGGGAAGTGGGATCCCGAGAAGGTGCATTAGGTATATGAGCATACCGGCATCCTCAATGGTGTCTGTCCTGCTGCTAGCCAAGGCCTCAGCAGTTGGTGGCCTCATTCCGGCCAGCACCGCTTTCTTCATGAATATTAGTTGTCTCTAATTGTGTGCCCCTATGCTCTGTAAGTGTGTCAGTGAATGTGGCACGATCTGGATAAAATAGCTGCTGTGTTTGAGGAGTTGGCTCTTAGTTCAGGTTGTCGGAGGTCACGGTATGTGAGGGAGAGGAGAAGCATATGAATGGTAGGTATAATCCTGAATGACCACAATTGTTAGTAGGCGTGAGATGGGCTGTGGTGATTTTAAGCTGTGCCTATGATGTTTCTACATTCACCCATCTTGGATTGTTTGGGCACCAAAGCCTGGATCCTTGGGGCTTGATTTCCAGCCTTGAGCTCCACATCTGTCTGCTGCCACTGCCTTTTTGATGTGTGTTTAGAGAGACTCTGGGAATACTGGATCTCTTGATCTCCCTTCTATGTCCCACTTCCTCCAGCAAGACTCCAGTCCAATCTATAAATCTCAGATCACACACTTTTTGATGTTATGTCAGTCATCATGGTTTCCCAAATCATATTCACTTATTGTACAAATGCCAGCACCTATTCCCACTACACTGCACTTCCTCTTTAAGTGACACAAATTCATTCATGGGATGGCTGGCTGGGCCACCTTTTATTGCCCATTCCTTGTTGCTCCTGACACGGTGATCATGAGCTGTCTTTTTGAACCGCTGCAGTACATGCACTGTAGGGTAGACCCACAATGCATTTACGGAGGGAATTCCAGGATTTTGACACAGCAACACTGAAGGAGCAATGATATATTTCAAAGTCAGGATAGTGAGTGGATTGGAGGGGTACCTGCAAGTTGTGGTGTTCCCATGTACCTGCTGCTGTACCTTTGTAGATGGAAGTGCTCATGAGTTTGGAAGGTGCTGTCTAAGGAACCATGGTGAATTCCTGGTGCTAGTAAAATAGGATTTGACCTTCTGTTCATCTGCGCAATGTATAAACAATAGTGTTAATGGAGACTGCAAGTAGACAGCATTCAAATGAAGTTATGCGCTGCATTCATTACATTGAATGGGTGCAGGTTAATCACACATTGCAATCCTCACACTTGTTTCCATTCTCTGATGTAGTACCCAGTGTGCGTGTGAGAGACTACAAGCACATGGACTGTGTGAGCATGTGTGCATGAATGTATAGTTAGCTGATTCTGTGGATACCATTTTCTTTACACTCAGTGTTTTGTCTTTAGGCTAAAGGATAAAGATGTTCAGATTACCACTTTGGAACAGGAGGTACTGCAGCTCAAAGAAACAATTGAACAGCAAAAAAACAAAAACAATGTGAGTGTTATATGACCCATGTTTTAATCCTGGTTTCCAGGAAGAATTTTAATGGCAGCTGCCCAGTTTACAATTGTATAAAGAGTTTTCTGGTTCAGGCCAGTGTTCCTATCCCCCATACAGCAACAAAGCTTGACTTGGACTTGAATCCTGGCAGTGGCATAGGCCTGGAGTTTAATTTCAGTGAAACCATTCTCTCGAGGCGGAACTTTGTTAGAACAAGTATCAGGAATTCTGGCATAGAGGTCATGCAGTCCTGGGGAGGGGGCCCACAGAAGTATATATGCAGGACTCTGATATGAATTTCCACTGGGAACTCCACATCCACAGTGGGAGTGCAGATTCATCAACTGCATATCTTCTTGCACTTGCACTTGCTATTTGTATACAATTTATTTCATCAATTGAGACTGGTTATCCCTGTATCAGCCAAAGTGTTGGAGGTGAGATGGGGCATTTGACAGACTTGCAGCAGATAGTCTATTTACTTAGAAAACGGGTGAGTCTATTTAAACAGAATTGCTGCAAACAGAACTCCTCAAATACATTGCAGCAGAATCCCAATAAATGTTGCAAAATACAGTGAGTGAATCATGATGGGTCTGGGCAGAGTAGATAGGAGGAAACTGCTTCCATTGGCAGAAGGATCGGGAATCAGAGGCCACAGATTTAATGCAATTAACAAAAGAAACAACAAAGAAATGAGGAAAACAGTTACTGAACAGTGAGTGGTTAATGTCTGGAGTGCACCATCTGAGAGTGTGGCAAAAGCAGTCTCAATTGAATCATCCAAGAAGGAATTAGATTATTATACATAAAAGAAGAATGTGTGGGTTGTGAGAGATGATGGGGGAGCAGCAGCAGGCAAACTGCTGAGTTCGGAAGCAGGCATAGACACAATGGGCTGAATGGTCACCTCCTGTGTTATAGCAATTCTGTGAATCTGAAAGGATATGGAGCTAAGGAAGTAATGTGGAGTTGATGTGCATGTTAGATTTGGTTTAAATAAATGATGAAACAGTGCTGAACAACCTACTGTTGTCATCATGTTCCACTACCTATCTGCTAACATTAGCGTGAAACAGTTCCATTCATCTCTGCCTTCTGTCTGGCTGTATTGTCATTCATAAATGCGTTTTGGCATCATTGAATTTTGTGATAGCACCTGAGTGGTTGGATTCTGATTTAGAGTAGATTCGCCACTCAAGAGATCTGAACTTGTTGATTAGAAATTATCTATAACTACGGAACATTTTAAGGTTGTGCAGCATAGAATAGAATAGTACAGCACAGAAGGAAGCTATTGACCTTAAAGTCTGTGTTGTCTCTTTGGAAGAGCTGCCTAGTTAGTCCCACTTTTAACTCTTTTTTTTTTATCCCTGCAGCTTTTTCTCCTTCAAGTAGTTAGCCAACTCCTCTTTGAGGGCTACTTGTAAATTAATTTCCACTAGCCTTTCATGCAGAGTCGTAAAAATCCGAACAAATTCAACTTTGTTATGTTGCTTCTGGTTCTTTTGACATTGCCTTAAATATGTATCCTCTGGTTATTAACCTGTCAACCATTAGAAACGGTTTTGTTTTATTTAAACCCTTCAGGATTTTATGCACTTTATTAAGACTTCCTCTTTTTCCTCTTTGCTCTAAGGAGAAAAGAATAGTTTCTCTATTCTACCCATAAAAGTGGATAATTTCTGGTAAATGTCTTCTGTATCCTTTCAAAATGCATGCCCATTGCAAATGTTTCCCACCCAATGTGTGAAAAAGGTTTTCCTAATTTCACCACTGAGCAGGCTGGCTTTAATTCATTCTCTACTCCCACTCTTCTCAATCAGCTTCTTACAATCTCTCACAATTGTTCTTTTTAATATCTAGAGCTCAACTTTTTTCGAGTGAACAGTTAAATTTTAATGTTATTAATACAGTTGAGAGCACTGTTACTCATGATAATTAGTTATTTCCAGAACGGAAGTGTATGAGACCTGACCTCTATATGTTTAATTATGACACAGGTATAGTGAAGTTGAATTAGGCTGTGTGCGTGAATTTTTCAGGTTACTATTTAAAAAGAAGATTGCTTTACATTTTTTTCAAAAAAACAGGCAGATGTTAGTATCATGGAACACTCAGCAGGATCATGATAATTTCTCTGCAAAAGAGAAATTAAAATTGGAATCAAACAAAAATAGACTTGAACCTGATAGGCATCTTTAAAACTATGAAGAGATTTGGTAAGATGGATGTGGAGAAACTGCTTCTGTTGTTCGAGTTCAGAACAAAGGAGCATAAATATAAGAAAGACCCTGACAATCTAGGAAAGAATTTAGAAGGAATTTCTTTGCACAGTGTGATGAGAATGCAGAACCTGTTCCCACATAGCGGTGCAAGCGGATACTGCAATTTGATACATTTTAGTCGGAGGCTTGATGGATATCATAGGGAGTTGGGAACAGAAAGATATTGGAACAGGGTGAGAGGAAGTAATTAGAGTGAGGGAAGGCTGTGCTGTAAATTCTGTAATATTCTATGTTACTTCAGCCAAAGGTATACATACCCATTGCTGAGTGGTGGTATATCAGGGCTATTTTGAAATCTAGTCCCAGATTTTTATCTAAAGACAGTAATTGGTCCTTTCCTGAGATTGCCACCAGCCTCCTGCCTGGTGGAGCCTCTAGTTTTGTAGTGGCATGGGGGGAAATGCACCAGAGTCAGGTTCACTACTTCTGGAATCAGGAGGTGGGTGGATACCAAAGCAGATAGATTAAAAGACTCGCCTCCGTTCATTGAGGCATCAATTTATTTCTGTATATGTGCATTAGACACCCTAGCCCTCAACTGCCTCCCACCCTGCTACGGTTCTGCCTATCTCCTCTGCTGTTTGTTCCATGGCTCCAAAGACTGAACAGATGGTGAGGCTGTCAATCGATGTAAAGATCAAAGCACAAGGTCCAATTGACAGGCTAATATCTGAAGTTCAATATTGTTGAATGCATAAGAACACTTCAGTCATTGGAGAAAGTAATGTATCTAAAGACTTCCACTTGCACAATGCTAGTCAATTTATTAGTTTTTAGCTTGTCTAAACAAGGCCCTATTATCATTTATAGACACATTTAACTTATTATACAGTACTTAATTATCACGTATGAAGAACTTTAAAATTTACCCATCATAAATTTCTGACTCCAAACAAGGAATCTAATATGGTTCACAACTTCTCTGAGATGCTGTCAACCACATTGTTGGCCAAAACAAGCTGAACTCCATAAAAATAGCAGTGAGTCTAAATGCTGACCCCACAATGAGATCGCTAAGTGTGGGATTGTTTTGTGTGGGCTCACCAACTGCACAATCATTCTTGCCTTTTAAAAATACCACATGGTGGAAGTGGAAGCCGGAATCACAGAATTGGTTCCCCATTGTCATTTTTAAATGTTGAGCTTGCCTCCATTTTGTAATGAATGAAAGAATTAAAACCCCTGGTGAGGAAATGTGAATCCAGGTTTATGAACACAACAGGGTGGACAGAGAAACACATCCACCTCATTCTCCCATCATCCCAGCCACTGTTAGTCCTAGGCCCTTCATGACTCTGAAGTGATAGAGATATTGGAGAGTGAAACTGGGCAGGAACATAGAAGTGGATGTTCATGGTCATGCAAAGGCATGGGAAACTTCCCATTAAGTGGTGATTTACCAGAGAAACTGCAATTGTTTTCATATCCTTTCTTGGCCTTGTCTCTCCCTGTCTCAGTAACCTCCTATAAACCACTATAATTTTTGCACTGTTACAATTCTGGCTTATTGCTCATCCTTGATTTTCGCTGGCTCCACGGTCCTATATATTATGGATTTGCCCATCTTTTACCTAATTGTCTCACATCCTGAGTATTTCCTCACATACACCATTGTTTTCATATTTATGGTATTCAGGTGATGTTTGTATCTTTAGTGCTTCCTATGACATGGGTGGGATGGTGCAAAAACAGAGTCCAGAATCCTGGCACACCCCCCACCCCACACACACACGCGCACACACACACGCACACACACACGCACACACACACGCACACACACACGCATACACGCCCGAGCAGGCCTGGACCTTGGGTTCGGGGTGGGGAAGGTGAGCAACAGACCCAAGGAGTGAGGTTTCGGAGGAGGGGATGTTGGGTGATAACTCCAATCCTAGCCCCAAATAGAATGTCAAGGTATCCTATATTTACCCTCAGAATTCATCACCCTGGATTCAATAGTAACGTAGTGAAAGGAAATTTAGCATATACTGACATATAAACAAGGAGCTGGGGGAGGCCATTCAGCCCCTCAAGCCTGTTATGCCATTCAAATCTCATATCCACATTCCTGCCTACTCCTGATAACCTTTCATTCCGCAGTTTAACAATAGCCTATCTGCTTCTGCCTTAAAAATATTCAAGAACTTTCCTTCCAACACCTTCTCAAGAAGAGAGTTCCAAAGACACTCAACCATCTGAGAGAAAAGAAAAGTTGCCTTATCTTTATCTTAAAAGGACAACCCTTGGACCCCCTAGTTCTAGATACTCCCACACAAGGAAACATTCTTTCCACATCTACCCTGTCAAGACGTCTCAAGATTTTACAAGTTTCAGTCTAGTCACCCTTTACTCTTCTAAACTCCAGCAGATATAAGGTGAATCTGCCAAACCTTTCCTCAAGACAACTTCTTCATTCCATGTATTAGTCTGATAAACCTTCTCTAAACTGCTTCAAATGCATTTAGGGAGTAGAACTAATTGGATAGATTGTTTAAGAAGTTGACACAGATGTGATGGGCCACGTGGATGTTTTCTCTGCTATCGGATTTTAAAACTAAGACAAGTTAGAACATAGTTTCTGCCCCCAGCTGATGTTAGATGTAATGTTAAACTCTTTGGCTGTAATGATTATTGATCATCACTACACAGTCAATTGGAGATGATGTACTAACTCACTCAATTGCATAATTAACTATATTCCAGTCCTGCCATAAACTTGAGCCTCAGCATGAACTTCAGTCACTTGTATTCCCTTGCCTTTGGTTATTTTGCAGAAATCAGCTCAGTGGTAACACTCTTGCCTCTGGGTCAAGGGGCCATCTCACTTCAGAAACTTGAGCCACTCACACTGACACACCAGTGTAGTAGACAAAGAGTGTTGCATTGTAACAGGAACCATGTATCAGATGGAACACCAAACTGAGGCACCATCTGTCATTGTAGGTGATGCTATTATTTGAAGAAGAAAAAGGGGAGTTATCCCAGTGTCCTGGTCACCATTTATCCCTCAACCAACGTAACTAAGGAAAACACTGATCTGGTCATTATCACATAATGTCTGTGGGACTTGACTGTGTACACATTGATTGCTGTGGTTCCCACATTACAAGTGACCACACTTATAGAAGCTCAGCTGTAAAGCACTTGGGATATCCTGAGGCAATGAATGGCACCAAATAAATGGGAGATTTGTTTCTATTTGGTATCTTGCGTATGAATCTGTGCAAGGTGTGTCATTAAAAAAACTGTTTCCAAATAGGACCTTCGAGCGAAAAACTGGAAGGCCATGGAGGCTTTGGCATCAGCCGAAAAAATGAGCGGGGAGAAATTCATTGCTGCTAAGCAAATAAAGGTTGTACTCTCTGTGATATAATGGCATGTGTTCGGTGCTTTTGCATTCTCTAAAGGAAATTTATAGGCTCTGGGCTATGTTGCTTATCTGCTCAACAAATTATAGTTTTTCCCCCATTGACTGAGTGATTGATAGATTGGGGGCAGGTAAGTAGTAATGCTAGGGCAAAATGTGCTGGAGTGCTGAGTAGGAGCAGCAACCCAGAGACTTCCAATTCTTGTCATTTGGAATTCTTACCATATACAATATAAAAAGAGTTGATGTATGTGGTTGCCAACTCACTCGATCTCGCATCGGCTGCTTTCATAAGAGAGTGGAATAAAGAATGAGACAAGATTGCACCCCAGTAAACATCTCTGAAGATCTTCTGATTTATGTGTACATCAAAATGGTCTCATTTATCAAACTAATCAACTGCTGTTTTGTGCTTTATTCATCTTGTTGATTGAATGTTTTGGAGTCCATTTACTGTGGGCGCAATCATGACTGTATTGTTCCTGTTCTTTGAATATTGACAATTCTGGCTTAACAACGGCTTTACTTCCAACTCCTACACTATCACTTGGTGACAAAGGATGACTTGCAGATTTAAATTGATACCTAGCCGTATGAACCTCCCCTTCTGTGGACATTATAAAGGCTAATGCATAGTGACACTTCCACAGCCCTGTATGAATCCAAATTACCTTCATCTAAAAATTGAGATCAAAGCCCTCACTTTTGACTCCCACTATAAAGTCGGTATACTCACCATCATTAGCAACCCCCTCCCCAGTAACTGTCTCAGGCAGAACCAAAATCTTTGAAACCTCCTTGTCTAGTTTGGCTCTGATCTGGGTTTCTGGTCCTCCAACCATTCTATCACAAAGACTGCCTATTTTCACCTCCAGCGTATCACCCATCTCTGCCCCGAGCTCATTCTGGCTTCTGCTGGAAACTTTATTTAGGTTCTTGTCAGTTCAAACTTTACTATTCCAGTTTATGAGATGGCCACCTTCCCATTCTCCACCCTCCATAACTTTCATCTAGTTCAGAAAACGTTCCTGCCCATGATCTAATGCTCACCACATCCTGTTAATTCAAATCTATCTGATACTGTAACAAATTTAAAATCTCAAATAGTGAGTGGGCATCATTTCTGTAGAGAAAGAAACAGAGTTAATGTTTCAGTCTATGATCTTTCATCAGAATTGGGAATAGTTAAGTCTAGAATAACGAAGGTATAAATTGAAGTTTTTGAACTTCAGAAGAGCTAAGGCAGTAGTGAAGTCTGACAGTGTTATGGAGGTGGGAATAGATCATCATTGTGATGGCACAACTATGAGGCTGGAAGTTTATATTTGACTCAAATGTGACTTGATCTGAGAATGTTGCCAGGAAGGGGGATGGAGTTGGTAACTACGGGGCAAAGATTGGTGGGGGTGGGGGTGGGGTGGCGGGAGAGCACACGGTGTGGTTGTGTAAAGGGCTAATGAAAATAATCGCCTTACTCTTGCCAATATTTAATTGGAGGAAATTTCTGGATAAGCAACCTGATAATCTGGCAATGGTGGAGCAGTTGAGAGAGGAACTTGGTGTCGTTGGTTGACATGCAAAGACAAAACTAATAATGCATCTGATTGTCGTGGGCATGGATTCACATAACCAAGAAAGAGATATCAATGCAAATTTGAGATCTAGCAAATAGAGACTGGCTTGGTAATCTTTGATATCCGCAATCCTGCATTCAGTGATGAAATGGGTACTTTTGATCAAAAGTCTTCAACAAATTAATGAAACAGAAGGAGAAATGGGTTCTTGATCATCATGAAGCATTTAATAAAATCACCTGTCTAGTATCAAATTTCTTTTTGATGACTTCTCCCTGATGAGATTGCTGCAATATCAGGCACAGTTTGATTTCTCACACGTTCCTGGTCAGAGCCGTGTTCTCACCTATTAAATAAATCTACTTATGTATCCTTTTGTAGGAAGAGGCAGAGAACCAACTAAGATTGGTCTGCACACAAACCAAAGAAATGCTTCAGGGGCTCTTCCCAGAGGTGTCTGTATCATCACAACAGGTAAGAGATGATTATTTGCTGTCTAAATGAAATAATAATTTTAGCTGGCCAGCAACTGAGTAGATACTGTGTTTTTAACTGAAAAGATGGAATTCTAAATTGTAATTTCAGCAACAATACTGTATATTTCTCACCGTGCTTGACACCAGCTGTGAAGATTGAAGGTGCAAGGTCCAATCCGTGCTCAGTTGGCTGAACTCAGGGCTGCACTGTGGGGAAAAGATTCTAAAGGCCCTCCTTATGGTTGCTGTTCAGTGACCCCTGCTGGCACATGCATGTATGTGCAGACATCCAGTGAATCCAGCACAGCCTCAGCTCCTAAACTGTCCAAACTCTCAGACAAATGACCATGAGGGTAATGTGACAGAGGCTTTCTAGTGGTCATAGATCAGGCTGAACCATAGGCCTGCTAGTGGCCAGGCAGCAGTGCCTCAGTTGAAAGCCTCGTGGAGTCGTGCAGTAAAGGAAAGGTAAAGTCACTATAGGCCGAGAGGATCACAGTGCTGTTCCCTCATTGAAGAGAGACAATTGGTAGTGCATTTAACCTGACGGTATCAAGCAAGGGGCAAGGTAAGACCTTCAGCTGGCATAGGAATTGCAGGATTGAACCCACACAGTTGGCATTGTTCAACAGCCAACTGAGCTAACTGACTCTATGCAGTGATACATCAGCAACAGCAGGGCCATAAGGATAGGTGGAATGAGAGAACATTCAATCGTTCATTGATCCCATTTCGAAATAAGATGAGTGTGATTTTTTTAACTGAGGTCTTTTTTATGAACGTAAGCGTTTTTAATAATTTCAATTTTGTAATTTTCTCATTTAAGTCACAAACTTAAACATTAAATTAAAGTTTCCCTCCAACGTTTGCAGTTTAATAACACACGTGCAGCTAAATGAATGTGGTGAGTATGGAAAAAGTATGAAAATAACAAAGACAAGACCTAAATTTTACATGAGTTGTTGTGCCGGGGATGCCAAGCTTGAAAGGGTGGTGGAGGCAGATTTAAGAATAACTTACAGGAGTGAATCGGATAAATAATTAGAAAGGAAACATCTACAAACCCACTAGGAAAGAGCAAGAAAAGCCATTTCAGCATAGTCAGGATGTCATCTCCTTTGTTGTATGATTGTAAGTTAAAATAGTTGCTGTTTAAAGTAACACAGTTCTGTATTAATGAAAGTGTTATGTTACAGCTTTATAGCGATTGGTTGCAAGAGTTCAAACAGAAGACACTGGATTTCCTGAACCAGCCAAATAAAGATTCCTCAGTGAGTACTGGTTGCAGAAAGAAGCAAATGGTTTTGTGCAGAAATATGTAGGCTTTTTAAATGTAAAACTTCTCCCCTCTGTTCCTTTATCACACTGGCCTACAGTTGACTTTTTTACAGAGATGCAGGGTAATTCTTCATGACTAGTTAGCATTGTCAGACTATTCAATTACATCAGACATCACAGTTGTACCCAGGTCCTAGCCTGACCTTTTGATGATTACAGATACTTTCCAGCTAGAAATGCTGAACAATCATCAAGTGATTTCTAATCAGAATCATGTCCTGTTCTCTCTTCTCCTGTGTGTCTCGTTCTCCCTGGTCATTGCCTCGACTTGCACATTTCACGTCTGTTTGCTCCCCTTGCCTGCCATAAGAGTTTAAACTTACTTGTGTGGATTAATTAGGAAGAGAGTGGGGAGAATGCATAAAGCTTGCCATCTCCCTGCCCTTCACACAACATCTGGCTAATGACACATTTTCTTGAGTTTTACTCACTTGTGTGACCCTTGACTGATGAATCCAGAGAGCCCTGTCGTTTGGAAGCTCCGTCTCTCCCAGTGTTCTGGCACCTCATGCTGGTCTTGACTGCCTGTTCTTTTTGTCATGTGCCGCTTACTTCCAGCACCCCTTCTTGAACTCTCCAGTCATGCTTCCACTTTAACCTGTCCTCTCTCTTTTCCAATTGGGACTTGATGCTCATTTCCACCCCTCTCTTGAGCTTGCTGTTGCGTGTTTTATATTGGCGTGCACTACATTCTAGATTGCTGCACATGCACCTCAGAGGGAACATTGATCAGGAGCTGGAATCTTTAGATAATGATCAGGAACAGCTCATTACCAGCTGGATTCTGGAACACAGAAGCTGGCTATTTGGTTGACCAAATCCATGAGGCTTCTTGCTTCACGTGAGCCTCCTTGTACTTTGTTTACTTCTATTGGGATGTCCTTCTTTTATTTTACTCCTCACATTCTATATAACTTCCTTTTAAAGACATCCATGTGGTTTAGCCAAATCGTACTAGGTAGCAGTGAGTTCGACATTCATAGCACAATCATTTTAACATAACAAATATTCCCATTAGGAGCAGAGTAAGGTATTTAGCCCCTTGAGCTTCCTCATAGAGTCATGGAGGTATACAGCATGGCAACAGGCCTTTTAGCCCAATCCAAATTAGTTTAGACCCATTTGCCTGTGTTTGGTGCATGCCCCTCCATATGTATCTCATCCATGTACCTGTACAAATGTTTCTTTAAATGATAAAATTATACTCACCTCCACTACTACCTCTGGCAGCCCATTCCAGACACTCACCAACTACTGTGTGAAAAAAAAAATGCCCCCCGGACTCTTTAGTATCTGTCCCTTCTGCCATTCAAAAAGATCATTGATGATCTGTTTGAGTTTTGAATTCCACATTCTCATCTACTCCCAATAGCCCTTGATCCCACTGCCTAATAAGAATCTATCCACCTTCATCTTCAGTGGAGGTGCTGTGTTAGTCATCAAATAAAACACACTCCCACCCCCTCCCCCTCATTCAACTTAAAGAAAATGGGAACATTCTACTCTGTGCAAATTGTTCTAACATCCAAGGGATAAGTTTTTCTCTGTGTTCTGTGCTTTCATATGGCAGTAAGGGTGTAGGGTTGGGGGTGGGGTGGCTAGATGGGGTTGCTAAATTTTCCAAACTTATGCATCGGTGTAAACTGCAACTTGCTCATGTTTGAATCCACACTGTCCCCATAGCCATTCCGTACATCATGTCCCAAAGCCTGTTGTCCACAGTTGCTACAATGATTTTCCTCTTGCCTCCTGATAAGTTATGCTACTTAGTTGTGACTTAGTGTTAGCATTCCTGTCTTTGGGTCAGAGGTTGTGTTCAAATCCCACACTGACAGTGGGAGCACGAATCCAGGATGCCTGTGGGAGATGCGGATTTTCGGATAAGGTAGTGCATTGAAGCCTTATCTTCTCTCAGGTTAAATGCTTCCAAAGTGATATTTGAAGATGACCAAGGAAGTTCTTTTTGCTTTCAATATTTATTCAACATCATTTAGAAAATTGATCATCTGGCCATTATGTGAATGCTGTTATGGGATCTTGGATATGCAGATTGGCTGCTGCATTTCCTACATCACAACCATGTCTTTACTTCAAAGAATTTCATTAACAGTGAAGCACCTTAGGATACTTGGAAACCATTGAATGTTAGTCCTTCCTTTCTATTGCCAACAGAAATGTTTATGATCATTCATTTCTCCTGTTCAAACTCTTTCAGAATCTAGCACTTAAGTTAAAAGAAGCAGAAGAAGCCCGAAGCACTTTACAAGCAGATTGTGACCAGTACAGAACAGTTCTCGCCGAGACAGTGAGTTCATTAAAACTCTTCTTTCCTCTTGTCCACATGTTAGCAATAGGTCCCAGAGTTGACCACTGTGCAAGAGCTGAGTATTTCAGTGTATGTGTGTGCTTTTTCCCTTGCTCAATTTCACAGGAGGGAATGTTGAAAGACCTGCAGAAAAGCGTGGAAGAGGAGGAGCACGTATGGAAAGGAAAGTTAGCAGAGTCCGAGGCACAAGTTCAGAAGGTGAGGTCATGTTTCCCAAGTGTGAGACTTTTCCATTCTGTTCCCTGGTGAAACGAACAAGTTTTGGAACATTATTCTCATTGAACAAGGAGACCCCATTTACAATGAGACCGAAAGGAAAATTACACCTATTCATTCCAATTAATCTGATTGCATTTTTCTGACCAGTTTTTCTCTTTCGATTTCTCCATTTTTCCCTTCTTCCTTGCAATTTTGGTACCTTGCTGGGATACATGCTAATGTCATTACAATGGTGATTACCCTTCAAAAGTACCTAATTGGCTGTAAAATGCTTTGGAACACCGCGAGGTTGTGAAAGACACCATGCAAATGTAAATCTTACTATCATTTCCTTCAGGACAAAATCAAGTCTAGCACTTGAATGGTCCATATATTTAAAAGGAATGGGGACCTATCCTAGAATCTTTATACCTCCGAGAAAGTGTTGCTATCGCTAAGCCATTGGAAAGCATTTTCCTTAGTTTCACCCCTCCTCCACCATCTTTGCCTTAGCACCCATCCTTCAACCTCAAGGAAACGGTGGGGACCTGAATGCAGAGCTGTAAGATGGTGTTCCTTTTGTAACCAGTGAATAGGGAATAAGCAAATAATGTTGAGATTCCTTATGCGTACCATAAATTCCACATGGTTTTCCAACAGAGAAAGGGAAACTTATTATGGATGCAACCAGTAGTGAATTTAAACAGGGTAGTAATACTTGAATTTCCAAAAGGCATTAAATAAGGTGCCATGTTAAAGGTTATTACACAAAATAAGGGCTCATGGCTTTGGACTACTATATTACCATAGAGTCATACAGCGCGGAAACAGACCCTCCGCTCCAACCAGTCTGTGCTGAACATGATCCCAAACTAAATTAGTCCTCCCTGCCTGCTCTTGGCCCATATCACTCCAAACCTTTCCTATTCATGTACATATCCAAAAATCTTTTAAATGTTGTAATTGTACCCATATCCACCACTTCCTTAGGAAGTTCATTCCACACACAAACCACACACAAAAATTTGCTCCTCAAGTCCTTTTTAAATCTCTCTCCTCTCACCTTAAAAATGTGCCCCCTTGTCTTGAAATCCTGCATCCTAGGGAAAAGACAAATAACAGTAACTCTATCTTATTATTTTATAAACTTCTATAAGGTCATCTCTGAACCTCCTATGCTCCAGTGAAAAAAGTTTCAGCCTATCCAGCCTTTCTTTATAACTCAAACTTCCTTACCCAGCAACATCCCTGGTAAATCTCTTCTGAACCCTCCCCAGCTTAATAATATCCTTCCTGTAACTGGGTGACCGTTAATAAGCAGGAAGCAAAGAATAGGGAAAAATGGGACATTCACCTTTTGATTGGTTTGAGCACCACAAGGTTGATTTCTGGGTCTTGACTATATGCAATCTATAGTAATGACTTAGAGGAAGGAGCGGGGAGTAATGTCCTCAATCTTCTGATGATACAAAACTAGGCAGAAATATATGCTTGAGGAGGACAGAAACAAGCTGCAGAGCTATACATAGGTTAAGTGAGTAGGCACCAAGGTATTCAATTAGATAGTAAGAATAGAAAAACCATATGTATTTTAGAAGACATGAAACTTACAAATATTGAGTTATGAAAGATTTAGGTGTACGCCTAGAAGAGCGCTGAACTTTGGCATGCAGTTACAGCAAACAATTAGGAAGGCAAATTGAATGTTGGTTGTTTTTGCACAGGGATTGGAATATAAAAATAAAGAATCTTGTTGCAATTGTATAGAGCTTTGGTGACACTGCACCTGGAGTAGTCCATGCAGTTTTGGTCTCCATAATAAAGGAAGGATATACTTGCGTTGGAGGTGGTACAGTGAAGATTCAATAGATTGGGTTCCTGGGATGGCAGGGTTCCCTGCAATGACAAGTTGAGTAAATTAAGTTTGTACTCTATGAAGTTTAGAGGAATGAGACCATACAAGATTTCTGAAGGGGCTGGATTGGTTGGACACTGTGAGATTGTTCATATGGCTGACAATCTAGAAAAGAGGGGTAGAGGTTCAGGATAACAGGTGTTATTTTAGACTAATACGAGGAACAATCTGCTCACTCAGAGAGTTGTGAACCTTTGGAACTTTCTATCCTGGAGAGTTTTGAATGCTCCATTTATTAAGTGTAGTTAAGGCAGAGCTGGATATTTGGTCTGTCAGGGAATCTGGGGACAGGATGTAAAGTAGAATTGAGGTGGAAGATCAGCCGTGATCATTATGAATTTTAGAGTGGGCTCAATGGATTGTGCAGTCTGCTGCTGTTTCTATTACTTGTGTTATAATTCAACGAGTTAAATTTTAAGGATTGACAAAGAATTGGAGTAAGGTAGAGAGGTGAATATTTTTATGGAGGCAAGTCCAGAACATAATGCCTAGGCAGTTAACGGCAATGGTGTATTGCCAATGTTGTTAATGGTGTAACAAATGAATCAAGCTGTGCTTGAGTCTTGAATAAGAAAAGTGCAGAGATCTCGGGGCTGTACAGTGGAGGAGGTTGCAGAGAAGGAGAGAGGTGAGGCTATGGAGGAATTTGAAAATGAGGAGAAGAATCCTGTGCATTAAACAATTTTATGTTTGGGATTTTTTCTTTTAGAACAGAACTATAACAACAGGCCAGCGATCTTTTCTTTAGTGAAAAGGAAATCAGGCGGTCACTTAACAGAAGTCTTTAAATTTTGATGGGATTTAATAGGATGGATATAGAGTAGATATTTCCTGTTGTGAGAGTTTACAGTTCAAAAATATGGAGCTACTCAGAAATGCAATAGAGAGTTCCTTTTATCCAGGGTAAGTGAATATGGCACGTGAAGTGGTTGATGCAAGTAATATAAGTATATTTAAGGAGAAACTAAAAGTGCATGAGAAAGAAAGGAATGGAAGGATATGTTCTTATCATTAGCTAAAGTAGATTAGAGGAATCTTGTATTAAGCATAAACACCAACACAGATATTTGGGATCAATGGCCTTTTCTTGTCCTTTAATATGTTTAAAAACACAATACCTTCAGACCATGATGATGATCCCATGATATTTTCTCCACATTAACAAATGTCAATGAAAATCTTGTGCAACAGCGGAGTAGAGATGCACGGACGGTCTAAGGCGGAATTCAGAACAAACTCCCAAAATACTGCTAATGCTGGAAATCAAAAAACAAAAGCAGAAAGTGTTGGGAACTATAGGTCAAGCAGGATCTGTGGAGACAGAAACAGAATTAACGTTTCAGGTCAATGGCCTTTCATCGGAATGTTTTCAACAAAATGTCATGAGCCTGAAATGTGACCTCTTTCTTTCTGCACAGAATCTGGCTGACATAATGAGTGTTTTTCTACTGTTTTCTATTTTTAATGCAGGAAATACCATCTCTAGTTTTTGTGCAAATAAACTACCCTAATCTTCCATGTGTGGTGTAGGACTGCAGTTTGTATGGTTTAAATAAATCAAAGTATATTGCATGCAGTCTTGTTTGCTTTCATTAATAATGCTCTACAGTATGTAATAGAGCTGTATCATTGCTCTACATCATTATACAGGCCCTCACATATAAGGGGGTAATTGTACTTGCATAGATGCACCTGCTAGAAGCAATAAGGTCTGTGTGGTGACAGCTAATTGGCATTTCTGTTTTTACAGGCACAGCTACAAGTAAAAAAGTTAGAGGACATGCTGGAGAAAATGAAGCTAGAAGCCCAAAACACAGAACAGGTACTTTTTTCTCATTCACTCCATGAGAGTGGCAGCAGACCATTCAACCACTTGGTCCTGCTCAGCCTTCAATTGAATCATGAATGATCTGTACCTGAACTCCCGTTCACCACTGCTCCACGGCCTGCGATGTCCTCGCCAAATAAAAGTCTTTCAAGCTTGTCTTGAGAGCTGTACTTGATACTGCCCATAGACTCCAATGCCTTTTGGAGGAGAAATTTCAAATTTCCACTACCCTTTGTGCTTCATAATTTCAGATCACATCCTTAGTTCTTGAGTCCTCCATCAGAGGTTCTTTGTATTTTACATAGTCAACAACTCTTCCAACCTTGAAGATCTTGACTGTTTATCTAGGAACTGGTCTACATGCACAAATTGGCACCAGATGCCTTACTCAAGGACGCATTAAACCCTTATGGCCAGACTTGATGGCATCCTTTCCAATGTCCACATTCCTGTTTCAACAGTGTCACTTCATCAGCTGTGGCGGGTAAGAAACTTCATTGAATAATTCTGCTATCATTAAATCTCTGTTTTCGCCCTAGATGAAGGATCGTGTTGTTGAATTGGAGGTACAGCTACAGTACCAATTAGAATCTGCAGACTCAGTGTGTCAGAAATACTCAGTAGAAGTAAAAGAGGTGGGTCTCCATAATTTCCTCTAGGTTTAGTGAATTTGTAACAGACTGTACATTAACAGGTTCAATAGAAGTAACTCACAATGGAAACTGTTGGCCTGGGCTCCCTCAGCCGTGTCTCAGGGACACTCAGCTTGTACACTAGAGCTCTCAGTTTGTGCATCATTCAGGCTGTGATGGGCTAATGGTTATGAATCTTTGAAAATGTCTACCCTAAAGGTTTGTGGATACTCTATCTTTGCATATATTCAGGACTGAAATAAACAGATTTTTGATCTTTGAATTAAGGAATACAGGGAGCAGGTGAGAAAGTGGAGCTGAAGCTGAAGATCAGCCATAATTGTGATGAATGGCAGAGCAGCTTTGAGGGTCATGTAGTCTACTCCTGGCCCTGTTTTCTGTGTTCTTATCCCAGGAACCCTCAGATTGCACATGATCAGCAACATGAATCCCATTGATTCCAGTACTTTACTCTGCAAAGAACACGGCTGTATCGACTGTTCACAGCTACCCACCACTGAAGTTAATAAATCTTCAGAAAGAAAACAGGACTACAATTACTGCAACTCTCAAATTAAAATGGGAAATGCAGCAGCACATGGCAAACCAATTATATCTAAAGGCATCAGTTTACACACCCAAAAGCTGCAACTTGTTTTGTATTCTTTGCTGATCTGCCAACTATGGTGATTTTTCACCATTTGCTTTTTGTGTTACATAGTTCGAGAACCATGTGCTTTCATTTTAGACCGAGTAAAAACATATTTCAAACCCAAACTTTGTTACCCAGTTTTCACTGATCTATCATTGACTTCCATCTCTCTCCTTTGCTGAGATCAACCTCAGTGTTGTAATGCTGGAGTCAGCCTAAACAAGCCGAGCACCAATCTTCTATCCCTCATTGTACAGGAAGTTCTACCCTTGAGAGATGTCAACCAATCTGATTGCTAGCAAGGGGTTCCCTGGGAAGAAGACCACAGTTTCAGTGTCCTCTAAGGCTCAGGCCTTTTTGGGCATGAAGGGACCTGGGTGAGGGGCGAGGCAGTAGGTTTTAGGATGCTGTAAGGCACAGGGTGGAGGTGGGGGTAACTCCCTGGGGAGGGGTGCTCCTGACGTGGACAGGGCAGCCACAAAAACACAACTCCCTTCCTGTCTACCTTTTTAACAAATTAATTAAATAGTAGCCTAACGTATTAGGGCAATCAAGGCAGACCGAGAGCCTAAAGTGGGTGCATTTTACACCCTTTGTACTTTGAGGACTGAGTCAGCAGCAGATGGGAATGTGGTGGGCTGGCAAAGTGATTTTATTCAACCCGCCCCTTCTGCCAAAAACATATAACCTCAAGCCTCAAGGGTGACAGAGCCCAGCTTGACCCTTTCCTGGGTCTGACTGCCATCCAAGGGTTTTCAATCAGCTGACTTAGCACAAAGTAGGAGCGTTTGTGATTTGTCATTGATTTAATGGACTGCGATTGCAAGGAGATACTTCAGAAATCTAGGAATATAGAAGCAGGCAGAGAGCATTTTTGCAAGCCTGCCCTACCATCAGTTAGATTATACTTGATCTATATGTCAGTCTCCCATATCCACTTGTTCTCCATACCCCCTGATATCCTTAGCCCAGCAAACATGTCTTATTGGTCTTAAAAGTTGCAGTTAATCCTGTCAGGCAGCCATTTGAGGGAGGGTTTTCCAGATTCCACTACTTCTCTTTGTGAAATAGAATTTCTTGACTGGACTAATGAATGACCACCGCTACACCAAACCCAACCCCATTTTTGATCTTTGTGCAACTTTACTCAAAGTGATCAAATTTAGCAGTTGATGTGTAATTTTCCATAATGGCTAGCAATGAGAACTTTGAGTGGCTGTTCTAAGATACTGCAGCAATGAAGTCTCCTCGACACTCTGAACATTCCACATGGTGCTTGGTCAATTCTACATATTTGTTATTTCTGAAAGATTTAGTACTCTCGGATAGTGAAGGGTTTGAGTCCTGTTATGCCATTAGGATTTCTATAGAGTTAGGTTAGACAGTCAGTTCTACTGCCCCTTAATGCTGTAAGGAACAGTCTCACTTCTGGCAGCAGTGGTGGATTAGTACATAGTTGTGTCTGATGGTCACCAGTCTGTGTATAGTGTGTGCAGTCACTGTAACCAGTGCATATGGGCATCAATGGTCAAGCTCTTCTCTGGGACAGGAGTACGTATAAACTAGAATGGAAAGAAAGAAATGGTTGCCTTTATACGGTGCCTTTCATAATGTCAGAAACTCCCAAATAACTTTACGACCAATCATATAATTTTGAATGCAGTCATTCTTGTTAATGTAGGGACCTCTGCTGCAAATTTGTGCATAGTGAATGCAATGTAATAATGATCAGATAATCGTTTTTCCTGATGCCTAACAGATAAATATTGGCCGGGGCATTGGCGAGAGCTCTCTTGTTCTTCTTCAGAATAGCACCACCAGATCTTTAATGATCACTTGAGAGGAGAGATGAGCTTTCTGCTTATCATTCGAAAAGTGAGACCTTTGACAGTGTAATGCTCCCTTAGCACTGCACTGCAGTGGACTATCATACTAGATTGTGACTATGGGTTGAATTTTTCCTGATAGAGGAGATGGGATTTGAGGCAGCGGCCAGGAAAGTAAAAGAGATCTGCATCTCGCATTTCCACTTATACGGCGTTTACCTGAGATGGGCAGGGAAGAAAATAGACAGTCCACTTGTCGGAGGTGAGGAACCAATGAGGGCACTTATGAGCCTTACTAGGAGCCTTCTTCCATTGGGGTAGTGTAGTGGACATGGCAACACTTTAACTAGTTTTCACTAGATGTTCCACTTCAGGGAACGGGAATATCTTCACCTTGAGGTGCCTTGAGACCCTCACCTCTATCAGCAGTGTCCATCTCTCCAGGTCAGACTGCTAGCTGTCTGCAGCCTTGGTTGTACTGACCAGCCTGCCTGCCACCCCTAATTGGACAGGGGTCCACATTGATTGATTGCCTCCAGGGCTAGAATTCACAGCCTTCTAACTGAGATTTGACAGTGCCACTTGCTGAGCCACAGCTACATCTAAACCATCCTGTACTGTTATAAAATCTGTGGAGTTTCAGTGGACCACGTGTGCTTTAGGAAGTGACTTTCTACCAGTCTGGAGTGAATTACACTTGGGTAAAATCTGTGTATTGCAGGACCAAGTGCAGGTCTCTCGTCATGAATGGAGTAAAAATCAAATTGCTGACCACATTCCCAAATTTGCAGCAGCTAGTGTGTGGAAACACTCAAACTCTTTCCACACTGTTGCATAACTGTACTACACAATGTGAATAGAGCCACTCGGGTAAATCTTGTGGAAATATTACCAAGAGTCTCAATTCCATTTTTACCCTTTGTATTTACAAACATTTGTCCTTAGAATATTATAAAGAAGGAGTATTTATAAAATAAGTAATATGATTTGGACCATTTTGAAATAATATTTTTAATATTAAGTTGTGAGGAGACAATGGAAAAACAGGCCTGTATTTGTAAAGTGTTCTGATAAGGTGTTGTTTCTGTGTACCAAGTGTTGCATTGCTGGATATTTGGTGATGCTATCTGATGGTGAGGATGGCCAACATCAGGTGGTTTTACTGGTCCCACTAAACCTGATGTTACAGCTGAAAGAATGGTGTGATGTTTAATACAAAGCATCAAGTCAGCAGTAAATATGTGCTGTAACTCTAGTGTTAAATGAGGTCTGGAGCTGATCTATTATGCTACTTTGTGATGAATTGAAGTTTATGATTTGTTCTTTTTCTGTCCTTTTGCAGTTGAGCGAGCTCCTAAATGATGCACAAAGCCAGCTTGAAATAGCCAATAAAGAGGTACAGAAACACAGTGAGGAGCTTTCACAGGTAATTTATTTTGCAGCATCACTTTCACCAATCGTTCGCTGAATTAAATTTTCAATCTTGCAACATGCATTTCAAACTCAGCTGAAGGATACTTCTAACATGATAAGATGCTGTAACTTCTGATCTTATGCTGAATGCAGTTAGGAGGATATAACATGAGCAAAACAGGCAAATTGAAGCATTTCTGCTCAGCAGTCTGGCAATCTCCCAGAAGATAGTATATTCAGAATCTGAAAGTTCTTATAGTATTTCAATCAGGAATCTGTGCAGGATTTGACTTGCTGATAACTTGGATCCTATTCTTCTGTAGCTATATCCCTGTATAGTATTGACTGTGCTGTGATCATGTGCATCTTGTGGGGTGGAGTAACATTTAAACACTCCTTGAAATCATTTATTTCCATCTGACCACTGTTAGGTAATAAATGTTATTTTTGGAATCATAATGGTAGCCAGATCCCAGGGAACAATCCTGCTGCTGCACTGTGATTGCTTTTTTGTAGGTGTTTTTAATGGGGGCATGGCTGGCCAGAGAATTTTCAATCGGGTGGTTTTGTGTGGTATGATTGATTAGTTTCTACTTTTGTTACTCACCAATCAGAAAAGGGGAAAAAAAAGAGCAGCTATCAAGAAAAGTTGGCCAAATTTGCAACCAGAGTGGGATGGACAGGCAAAGTTACAACTTTTTGTGTTAAAAAGACATAACGGATATCTTAAACAACTGACCAATTATTAATTGATGAGAGGTAAACTCTTAAGGGAGTTTCAAGATCATCTGATGAGATGACCAGTGATTATGGAGTTGATGCTCTGTCCATCTTACAGACCAGGTCCCATTTCTGGCTTCTACTTTGGAATTGACCAACTCTTGTAGAGGCATAGTTCAGATTGCTAGCAGCAGTACGCTGCCCAATGCACAGTTTGTCCTGTGAGAGTCTTTGCAGCCTATTCACCCACAATGACTCAATTCCTTTTTCTCCTCCTCCCTGAGCTGCTGAAACCACTCAGATGAACAAACCAATCTCACACCTTGGAGCAGCATTGCTTGCAACTGGTTTCCATGTTGCATTAAAATACCAGGCTGTCAAAGAGCAAAAACAATGTAAATAATTCCTCTCATGACCTGTGGAATTAGAAAGTCAATGTTGTCTTGAAATGAAGTGCAGCAACCAATTTACTTGGAGAAGGTAATATTGACCAGATTTTTTTTAATATTGTTGGTTGAGAGATTGAAGATTTAGAGCTACTGCAAAGGATCTTGAACGTTCATCTGAAAAGGCATATGGATTCTTGACTTAACATTCCATCTAAAGGTGGAACCACCAACAGAGCAGCATTCCCTTAGAACTGTGCTAGTGGTTTTTGTCTGGATTTTGTGTTCAAGTCTTTGGTTGTTGGGCTTGAGTTCACAACCTTTGGACTCACCCAAAAGTGCTAATCACTGAACCTGGGCTGACACCCATTGAATTATCAAAGGACATCATTAAAGTCTGTTGATAGCCATTGAACTAAATAAAATAAATGGACTCAAAGGGGCCTTCTTGCGGCAAAGTGGTAGTGTCCCTAAAAAATATAAATTTTAAAGTGGAGATAGCAAGGACTGCAGATGCTGGAAGTCAGAGTCGATAAAGTGTGGAGTTGGAGGAACACAGAAGGTCAGACAGCCATCAGAGGAGCAGGAAAGTTGGCGTTTCGGGTCGGGGCCCTTCTTCAGGAGCCCAATCCTGATGAAGAGTCCTGATCTGAAATGTTGACTTTGCTGCTCCTCTGGTGCTGTCTGACCTGCTGTGGTCCTCCAGCTCCACACTTAGCCACTTTAAAACTTAGAGTTGGTAGGCTTGTGCCACAGTAGTAGCATCCCTATTCCTGGACTGGGAAGTCCAGGTCCAAATCCCACCATCTCCAGAGGTGTGTGATTGCAACTGTGAACAGGTTGATAAAAATACTTTGGGACCTCTGGTGGCAGAGTGTCTCTATCTCTGGACTGAGATGGCCCAGGTTCAAGTCCCACCTGCTCCTGAGGTGTGTAATAGCAGCTCTGAACAGTTTGATTAGGAAGAAGAGGTTAAATAAAAAATTTAAATAGACACGGGCCACGGAGACATTCAAAACTCAACTGCTTGCTTTCCACCTAAAATTGCGGAATCAGGATTTGTGGTGAGGTGGTGGTTGGTGGGCATTGACCACAGCAGCCCCTTTGCTTCCCGAGGCCTGCCTGACTTTATATTTGGAATCATGTTCCATCTGGTGAAGTTTATTACTGATGCCTGTTAGATCTTCATACCAGTCAGTTTCTGTTCAAAGTAGGTTCGAAACCAACTTTGGCTCAGACCCCCCAAGCTGGCAGCACCTTGGGGGCTGGAGCATGTGCTCCATCACCTTAATGGGCAATTTTGAAATAGGTCACATTTCTGCCTATTTTAAATATGCATTTCTGGAAAACTGCGGGATATTGTCAAATTGGGATCGATTTGCCATGAACCGGTTGGGCTTAATGTTCTTTTCTTCATCATAACAGCAACCCTTGGTTTTTTGGCCTCTGCTTATGTTCAATACACATTTAAACTTGATTGAAAAAAGCTTAACATATTCTCTGTTGTGTTTTGGTGTGGGTGGGAAGGATGGGAGCTCTTTATTTAACGAGTGTACTTTTGTGCATTTTAAATGAGTTTTAATCTCCTCACTTTAGGTGAGGCAGCGTCTGTCTACAATGGAGACCCATATGCGTGATGGAGAGTTGGCTGAATCATTGTCTGATCAAGTTGAGCCTGCCAAGGTTAGGGTGGTGAGGCGCTTATGCGTGTCTGGAGAAAGCATGTTGGTCTGTAATGTTGATCAGTAACACCTTATGCCTCTTTAATGTCACTGTATGGTGTACACCCATTCTCTGTGGTAACTATTCCTACAAGACCTGGATCTCAATTCATGTCCATTATCTAATATTTCCCTGCACAGCATGACTCCTGACCATTTTCATCATCTAAACTTCAAATATTTGTTCCACTTCCAACTTTTCATCTGTTAGTTGATTGCCTATAATTCAACATCTGCAGTAAAAAAAACTCGACACCTTCTTTATGTTTTGTTTAGTTTAAAACCCAGTTGGAAGAAACTGTGACCAGTGAGCAGATACAAAGACAGCAGCTGGCTGAGGAATTTGAAAAGGTACAGAATATTTTTTAAGAACAAAATGCCCTCATTTTTATTTGTTTATTTTTCCAGTAAGGTAAATGATTCCTTGCTGTCTGGTTGCCTGGACTAGACATCTCCGCAGTTGGTGGAGAGACAGGCTGACAGGAGATTGCTTGCTCTGTGACTTTCAACAGTGTGCCTGCCTGGTCAGCAAGATATTTGAGGGACCCTGTTTATTCTCCCCTTTTTCCTTTCCCACTGATGGAGGGTCATCATGGCCATTTACTGGTCATGAATCTGGAAATTATTGAAGCTGAGATCAAGCCTAATGCTATAGTACTCACATTATCTTCAAGACCCATTTGATTGCACTCCACTTCTTAAGAAGCCACCAGGCACTCCCTTGACACACTGAGATGTCTCATGAGAGCATTGACATACTGATCAATTAATCATAAGTTTAGTTACTGTGTGTTGGCATTAGATGAAGTCAACAAGTCCTTGCATTCATGCAGACTTTTAACATAGTAAAGTATCCTAAAATATTTCACAGGAGCTCAATCAGGCAAAGGAGGGGGCTTGAAGGAGAATAGCACATAGTTGTAGACTAGTAATCCAGCGATTCATATTAATACTCCAGCTACTACAGGAATTTAAACTAAACTTAATATAAATCTGGAATTAAAATTTGATCAGAAAATTACTACACAGTCATAAATCTGTCTGGTTCACTAATGTTCTTCAAAGATATCTACCAACCTTACTTGTTCTGGCCTAGGTGTGAATACAGATACACAGTAATGAAGGGTTGACTCTTAATTGCTGTCGGAAGTGCCATGCAGTTGTACCAACCTACTACAGAAAGGACAAATAAGAATAAAATTGGATGAGCTACCCAGCATCCACCTAAACACTAGATATGACAAAGACGTACGCTGTCTGGTCAACCATACAGTGTCCTTCACATTAATGTTTGGGAATACTTACCCAAAGTGGGAGCACTGCTCAACAGATTAGCCAGGCAATAGCTTGATAGGTATACTCAACAAATTATACCTTCTACCCCAGGGCCACTCAGGACAATTGTAGCTGTTCAACTCCTGCACTGTTAAGAAGCCAGCTTATTCTGAACAGAAGCGTGGATCAACCTAGACTTAATATTTTGAGATCCCCTCTTGTGGAATGGATGATTTTCTGTACCATGTAGTATTTAATATTCTTCAAAACTCTATCTTTTGCTTTCACTTGTGTGTAGCAGATTTTATAACAGTGGTTTCTAACTAAAGCCTGTACACTTTATATTAGGCCCAGAGATCTGCACTAAACTTACAGGAAGAGCTGGAAAAGTTGAGAGCAGCAGGGGACAGTGTCACCTGTGCCGGAGAGGATATCGTTCAACTAAAGGTAATCTTGACGCATCTTGTACTTTATGTTCTACATGTGCACTAACAATATATCTCATTCTTTCTGCAAAAACAGTTACCTATCAGTGCCACTTTGGTACAACGCATACTGAATAAGTCACCTAAATGCTGTTCAATGAGAGGCCATATTGTGAATTTACAGCTGTTTAACCTATTTTAAGTTTCTGGCCATCATGGTCCAATGCGGAATTTTTTTCTTCCTTACATCATGTACTTTCTTACCATTCCACTGCTGCTTTTTGAAGATCCTAACTCATAGCTAGGAATTCAGAGGTTCTTATTGCCGTTCTGTAGCTTGCCCAACTGGCTGGTTTTGACATTCTGAGGCCATTTGATCATGGAATGCGTCACATGCCGTGTCAGATTTGAGCAGTCTGAACAGAATGCAGTTTTCAGTTGGACAGTCATTGGGAGCAGGAATCCTGATTCACTGTTCCCCTGCCTTCCCAGCATAAGAACACTCCCACCAATCAAAGTGCTGTTGTGGGAGCACCATCATCACAAGAACTCCACTGTTACAAGGGTAGCCCCATCACCACCAGCTTCTCAGGACATAAAAAAAACAAGCTGCTTCCAGTAAACTTGAATATGAATTATTAGATTGTTACAAAAACCTGACTGGCTCATTAATGTCTATTAAGGATGAAACCCTGCTAATTGTACCCAGTCTGAACTATATATGACTCCAGTTTCAGCTCAATGTAGTTCACCATTATCTGTCCCTTGATGTGGCTTAGTGATCTGCTCTGTTCGCTAGCCTATTACGTGCAGTAGTTCAAACAGAAAGCCTACCATTTTCTCAGGATAACAAGCAATGGGCAGTCAGTAGGCTTTGCTGGTATTGCTCATATCCTGAGAATGAATAATAAAACAAAAATACAGCTAGATTTTACAAACATTTGACTCATCCAGTGGCATATTGAGCGAAGCCATTACCAGTTATGCAAATGTTGGAAGCTCACATTTATATTTCGATTTTCAGCCAATTTGGTATTTTGTTTTGTTCTACAAAAAGTATAAGGTTGCAATTCGATCTCGAAGTCAATCATCTGTTTAAACTTATCTAGTTTGTATTTCCTATCACTGTTCACACCAGCCAAGTAGCAGGCACTGACCATCTCCATGAAGGGAAGATCTAACCACCTCCCCATGACATTCACTGGCAGTATGTTATGACTGTGACAGGAAGAGTATGCTGGAAATCAAGCTCCTTGATTCCAAGAGGCATCACAAATGTGAAATTGACCAACTTAATTTCTAGAATGATTAATTTGCTTCACTTTGACCATACCCCAGGTGAAAGAAATGTACACCAGGTTCCATCAATGAACAAGAAAACAAAAACGTATCTACGGTATAATAAACAAGCCTATCCTTTTACAAGTGGAAATATGGCTATTAATGTAAGATAAGCAACCCGCTCTTATTGTCCAAACATATACATATTCATTCACAAATAGAATTGACAACTTTGGAAAAATATTCTGGTTAGAAAACTATAGGCTAAAAATGACCAAGTTCTATGGTTTAACAATCCATACCATAAGAGATGAAATGACGTGACTTCCTCACTTTCTTCAGTTTTTGGTGAGAATGTCATGGTTTTGTTGAGTGCAGTAACCAATTGTTGTTCAGTAGCCAATCCATTGGACCTAGGTCTTTTGCTTGAGTTAGAAATTCTGCTTTTCAGAGTCTTTTAGTGCTGATTTTCTTCCACTCACAGAGGGGAAGAGAGGGAGAGCTGGCTTGGCTTGTAAGCTTCTGAAGAGTACAACTGCTCTCAGAAACTACTTAAAACCAAATGAAAAGTTGTCGCAGGGCAGTTCTTTTCCATCCAGGGACACTTGGTGCCAGTTAGTCTCATGAAAGTATCAAACCTGCCTTCTCCAAAAAGTATATTTTGTTGTGTAATCATTAAGTAAACACCACACTCTTCACTTTTGCTTTCTTTTGTAAGAAAATAATAGTGTCTATTCTCTGCAACACAGCTGTTTCCAAACTTCAATTTTTCAGTTATATTTCAAATAAAACATTTAGACCTTGCAATTACCATCATCAAATCCCACGCTATCAATATCTTGGGGTTTCTATTTACAAAAACGGAACTGGATGAACCATGTAATTAGTGTGGCCACAAGATCAGGTCAGAGGGTAAGAATTCTGAGGCAAGTATCTCACCACCTGACACTCCAAAGCCTGTCTGCCATTTACAATGTACAATTTGGGTGTGTAATGCAATACTCCCCACTTGCCTGAATGAGTGCAGCCCCAGCAAGATTCCAGAAGGTCAACACCATGCAGGACACATTAGTCCATTTTGACTGGCACCCCACACACTGCTTTCAACATTCACTGCCTCCACAGCAGTGTGTACCATATTCACGATGCACTGCCGCAGCTCCTCAAGAATCCTTTGTTAGCACCTCCAAACCCACAAAGATGGCAGCAGAGTGGGACCCTCCAACTGGAGCTCCTCTACTGTGCTTGTTCTTTTTCTTTTTCTTTGTTTTTCTTTTTCCTTGCGTGTCCTTTTTAAACTTTTAACTTTTCAAACTTACTCGGAGGGAAATGGGGGAGGGCAAGTCCCGGGCAAGAGGGTGGGGCGGGGAGGTGAGTCCAGGGCCGGAGGGTGGGGCGGGGTGGCGAGTCCAGGGCCGGAGGGCGGGGCGGGGAGACGAGTCCGGGGCCGGAGGGCGGGGTGAGGAGGGCGAGTCCCGGTACCGGAGCCTGGGGAGGGAAGGGCGAGTCCAGGGCCAGGGGCCAGGGCGGAGAGGGCGAGTCCGGGGCCGGTGGCCGGGGTGGGGAGGGCGGGTCCTGGGCCAGGGCGGGTCCCGGGCCGTGGGCTGGGGCGGGGACGGTGGGTCCGGGGCCGGGGCGGGGAGGGGAGGCTCCTTGAGACCTTTGAAACTCGCCCTGAACTGGAGACTTGATCCGGAGCAGTCTGAAGGCTCGATGCTGGCACGGACCTGGGTGAAAGGACTGTAAACAGAGCAATTTTTTCCTTTTAATTCTCATGCTGGGCTTTTATTATTCTTTCAATTTTGTACCAAATACTTAAGAATCTGTACTGAGGTGTCTGGTACCTAAGATGGCACTGTAAGCGGTGACATTGCAAACTTTTCAATGTACTCATATGAATGCATGTGACAATAAAACTAATCTGAGTTATTCGAGTTATACTTCTGCCACCTAGAATGATAAGGGCAGCAGAAGCATGGGAACACCATCACCAGCAAGCTCCCCTGCAAGCCGCACACCATCCTGACTTGGAAATATATCATTGTTCTTTCAGTGTTACTGGGTCAAAACCCTGGAACTCCCTCCCTAAAAGCATCATGTATGTGCTTCACTGGTTGAAGAAGACATCTCACCACTACCTTTTCCCAGGCATTGAGGGTTGGGAAGCACATTCTCACCATGCCAGCGACCCCCACATACCATGAAAGAATACATTTTTAAAAAGTATCTCAGTCGCTGCTCTTTGGTATTTGAGTTTTGCCTGTTCTTCTGTCTGCTTCTGTGAGCTAAAGGATTGAGATTCTTCCTTAATTGAATGGAGGCCCATTTCAATTGACCCATTTATCATCACACTTTGGGAAAAGCTGTGTAGGCCTTAGTGAGTGTGCAGAAAAGATGAACCAGAATGTTAACGTACTGGGGCCGAGGGACTTTAGGTGTGTGGGTTGTTTTCCTTAAAGCAGAACAAACTAAAAGGCAATTAATTGTGGTATTTGAATTCATGAATCATCTCAAAAGAATAAATATGGAAAGTTGCTTCCAGCTAGAAAAGGGTTAGTACCCAGAGGACATGGATTTAAGCTGATCTGCATAAAAAGCAGAAGTGACATTGAAGAAATGTTTTTAATGCAACAATTTTGTGGTCCAAAATGCACGGTCTGTTTAAGAAGAGGTGAAAGCAGATTTAATAGCGAATTACAAAAGAGAATTCAATAAATACCTATTGTGAAAAAAATTGTTGGGCTAAAGGTAAAGAGAAAGTTAACTTAATTGTGGATATCTTCTAATCAGCTTGCTCAGAGATATTATTACACACCTTTGGGGCAGGTGGAATGTGAACCGGGGCCTCCTGTCTTAGAGGCAACGACACTATTGTTGTGCCACAAGAACACTTGGAGATAATTGTATAGCTCTACTAAAGAGCCAGCAGAGGTGTGATAGACCAAATGACCTCCTGTGCTTTCTCATCCTACGATTGTGAAGCATCACCTACAGTCAGACTAGGAATATACATGCTGTTGGTCATAGCAGCTATAGGAGTTGCAGTTGACATGGAGCATACAGTTGAACACATGATCTTAAAGTTTAAATTTTATATGTGTACCAGGCTTTCTTTGTTTTCATTTTCTTCCCTGATATCCTGAGTCCATCAATTCGAGTCCAGAGAACAGGTGCATGAATTCCTCCGATACCGTAGGTCAGTGAGTGTTAACAGAATGGCTGTGCTGGAGGCACCAATACAGCTAAGCTACTCTTTCTCTTGATTGAAATCTGCATGTATTTGGGCATTGGGAGCACAGAAACAGGAGGAGGCTTTGGTGCCTGTCAAGCCTGTTGCACCATTCGTATTGATCATGTCTGACAGGTCTCGCAGACTTGAAACAAAGGATTTGAAACATTTGGGGTCCATGACGTTTCACCCTTTGTTTATGCCATGGGCATCTCACCACTGACATAAACACATCCAACCATGCCACCATGTATTAGTCACAAGATTTGGATACCCCTACGAAAGACACTTGAGGTCCATCATGAGAACTTTATGGCACAAACACTGAGGTCCTCCATCATGTTGGGCTTAACAGCATGGAGACCATCCTCAAAAATTCCACTTAGATGAGTTGGCCATATCTCTGGCGTAGATGATTGCCAAAGCAGGTCTTCACTAGGGAACTGTCTCAGGGAAAATGACATCAAAGTCATTGAGTAAAAATGTTAGGATCTAAAATAGTCTTATGAAGCTTTACAGTGCAGTTGACTGGCCCACATGGAGACACGCACCAAAATCTGTTTAGTATATTTTGAGCACCATTTATGCCAAACTCATGATGTCCAGAGGTGAAGCAGCTGCATAAATTCCTTCAAACACCAATGGCAGGAGCATGAACTGTGAACATCCGTGCTGATCCTGTATCATACTGTTCAGTCATGAGAAGACTCACAGAAGACAGTGAAATAATTTACAACCTGGACATTCTGGAACAATGAGGAGTGTGTTTTAACGCATGTCAACCTGCTCAAAATCTCATCTTTCTTTTCAAATTCTTTCACAGCTCCTTGCTTGTCCAAGTCTCTGCAACCATTTCCAAGTCTACAACCCATTCTTGATTTTTCTGATCTCTTGTATACCTCCTACCTTTGCCCCATCATTAATGGCTATACCTCTGATTGCCTCATCTCTACAGTCTGGGCTTCCATCCCTAAATATATCATGTTTCTCCTCTATAAGGTCCTTCTTAAAACACACTATTATTATCTGGATTTTAATTGCCGTCTTTCATCAAAACATCTATTTTTCAGTTCCGTCCTTCTGAAACCTTTTGGATAATTTTTAATTTCAGTTCTAAAGATGCTATAAATTCAGATGGTTATTGATAAATGGTACAGTTAGGAAGTTTGTAAGATTATATTTTGGAAATGTCACTAATTTAAAGTAAACAAAGGGGATTGTGTGACCTCTTTCATAGTTTGCTCACAGTAAGCTTGAGTATTTTGATTGTTAGAGATCAAAAGAAGGCTTAAATTGTTTTCCTGCAAAGGTGCGAGTTATTTACTTGAAAACAAGATCAGCAGTCTCTGAGTTTACAATGAGTAGACTCTGAGTCTCCCAAAGTCCCAAAGAGGCGTTGAAGGTACTGGAATGTAAATAGATTTGCTGTAAATTCTCTGTTTGCTTCTCAGCTGAAAGGGAGTTGAGATCAATTAGTTAATTAGCATTTTACCTAAACACAAGGCCCCAGTGTATTTCACATTGTCATGGAAAGAGACGGAGAAAGCATTTTTGAGATCAACTTGTAGGCTTCCTTGCAAGTGAATGAACACGACAGATAGTTTCTGAGTGCCCAACCAAGAGAAAGGCTGCTTTGAATCTTGAGCTATCATAGCCAAATGCAGGAGGGAGGCAGTCTGGACTTAGAGCAACCCTGACTTGGTTGTGGAAAGGGTCTAGGCCCGAAACGTCAGCCTCTCTGCTCCTATGATGCTGCTTGGCCTGCTGTGTTCATCCAGCCCTGCACCTTGTTGAATCAGCAGAACATGCTTTACTGCTGGAGTTGGATTCAAGGAACTGTCTGAAAACAGAGGAAGGTGTCTGGAGACAGTTATTTGAAGTGAGATACTGGAACCCATTGGAAACTGGGAACAAATGTGAAATGTTTTCTAAAAGGACTAATTATGTGGAGAGTGCAACAGATGATAAATATAAAACAGGAATATCACTTTCTGCAGTTTAAAGTACTAGTGGCTTATAAATTAAAATAGTGTTTAATTACAAACAAAAACAGAAATTGCTAGAAAAGCTCAGTAGGTCTGGGAGAGAAATAAGAATTAACGTTTCGGGTCCAGTGCGCCTTCCTCAAAACTTCTAATTCTAAGGAAGAGTCACTCAACCAGAAACATTAACTCTGATTTCTGTCCACAGATGCTGCCAGACCTGCTGAGCTGTTCCAACAACTTCTGTTTTTGTTTCTGATTTACAGCATCCACAGTTCTTTCAGTTTTCATATAGATTTTAATTAATAGTTTTTTCTTTTATGTAGCATTCTTTCGCCTACTAACTGGAAGTTCTCCTTTTTATGGAGATTATAACATAGTATTAAAATCATTATGTTTAAACTTGCAGGAAAGACTTAACAAGGAAAAGAAAATGACCAAGGACTTGAGTGAAGCTGCTGCAAAACTCCAGCAGATGCTGAAGGCTACCCAGGAACAACTTAACAAGGAAAAAGAAACTGTTGTGAAGCTACAAACACAGAGACAGGAAAAGGTACATTAACAAACATTGACAGAAAACAGTTGTATAATTTTGGTTGCTGACAATTTTTTGTCAAAAGTTTTTTTTCCCTCCAAATATGTATCTCTCTCCCTTTCTCCTTCTGTTTCCTGTGTACAAGACATGTACGTCTCCTATAAACTGTGAATCTCTCTTTGGCATTTATCAGTCTTTACTCTTGAATGTGCAGACTTTTGAAATATGTATCTCAAATAGTACTTGCAACACTTACGAAGATGCCATTTTATGCAAGTCCATGTGGTGTTTGTTCCCGACATCACTTTGTATCTTACTTCATCTAACTCTAGAAACATATTACACCAAAACACATATATGTGAAGGACTACCCTGCATTCACGCAAAAGTTTTTATTTGGGACGCTCCATCCAAGTGATAGGATTTTCATATTACAAAAAGCAATAAAGGTTCTTCGGAGTTCCAGTTTTGCAAAAACCGAAAGAACTGCGGATGCTGTAAATCGAGAACAAAAACAAAGTTGCTGGAAAAGCTCAGCAGGTCTGGCAGCATCTGTGAAAGAAAAAAGAGTTAATGTTTCGGGTCCAGTGACCCTTCCTCAGAACTGATGGTGGCTGGGAAAACGTCACTTTATATGCAGAAAATAGGGAGGTGGGTGGGGTAGGAGTTCTGAGGAAGAATCACCAGACCTGAAACATTAACTCTGATTTTTCCTTCACAGATGCTACCAGACCTGCTGAGCTTTTCCAGCAACTTTGTTTTTGTTCCTGATTCACAGCATCCGCAGTTCTTTCGGTTTTTATTGACTGCCATCAGCCCTGGAGCTGTATCCCAGTATTTACGGCAACTTCCCATGCGATTGCAGGTGTAACACCTGCCTGTTTACCTCCTCCATTCTCACAATCCAGACACACCTTCAAGGTAAAGCAGCAATTTACCTGTTCTTCACTCAATCTAGTCTGCTGTATTCCCTATTGTTAGTGTGGTCTCCTCTATATTGGTAAGACAAAACACAGACTAGGTGACTGCTTTGCAGAACATCTATGTTCTGTCCACAAAAATGACCCCGAGCTTCCAGTCGCTTGCCACTTCAACACACCACCATGTTCCTACGCCAATTCTACTGTTGCAGATCTGCTGCAGTGTTCCAGCAGGCCTCAACACAAGCTCAAAGAGCAACATCTCATTTTCCATTCGGGGACCCTATAGCCTCTGGGTCTCAACATAGATTTCAAGAACTTTAGAGCCTGATTCCATCATTCCATGTTTTTTACCCACCCCAACACCCAGCCTTTTCTGAAGAACGGCCCAGACCCAAAGCGTCAGCTTTCCTGCTCCTCTGATGCTGCCTGGCCTGCTGTGTTCATCCAGCTCTTGTTATCTCAGACTCCAGCATCAGCAGTTCCTACTATCTCCATCATGACATGGGTTGCTTTTAGCACAGTCACCCATTCTCACATACTCTGAGGCCCATTATCACGTTATTTGGGTTACTTTTAGTATGGATCACCCTTTCTCTCCTACTGTTAGCTTTTATTATCACTTATTCAGCTTTTCTTCTGTCCTGGCCTGCTTTCCATAATGTCCTTGTTTACCTACCCTTTTCATATATCTCTCTCTCCACACTCCATCTTCACCTATCCACTCACTTCTCCCCTTCACTGACTTCGTCTTCTACATAAAGATTACTTTTTCTCAGCTGCTAACAGTTCTGATGAAGTGTCACCAGACTTGAAATGTTTACTCTGCTTTCTTCTCACAGATACTGCCGGACCTGCTGAGTTTCACCAGCAATTTCTATTTTTGTTTTAGGTCTGCAGCGTCCGCAGTTCTATGTCTTATTTACCCCAGTATTTACTGTTGGGAGTCCATGAAGCTACAGAGACACTGATTAGTTTTGGAATTGTTGTAATTGAGCCTGATTGACCTAAGTCTTGCTCACCTATATATTGCACTGTGTTCTTTTATAGGAAGAGGAGAAAGCAGTGACGGAGGAAGGTATGAAGGAGGGGACATCCGTCTAAAGAGTCTACAGTTGCAGTGAACACTACTCGAACTTGCCAGATGCCTTACAGATATAATAGTTCTTATGCCATTCCTAAACTGTGCGCTCAGTATTGTACCGTAGTTAATTATGAACTGTTAGTGAGCCAGTCAAAAGTTTGAGAAAAGTTCCAGTCACCAGTTTTTTTAAAAAGCTTTTTTGACTTTTCTTCTCCTTTTAAGACACATTACAGTGAATGAGCTCTGACTGTGTCAGTGATCTGAAATCTAGATGTCCACTTTGTATATGAAACAAAATGACCTGAATGCTCAGTTTACATGAAAAGGGAAGCAAATGTACTGTTGTGGGGAACGTACATTGAATTGTGCAATTATTATTATTTTTTCTTCAAGGAAAAATGAATAAGCAAGAGAAAAGGAGCAAGTGAAGTTTAGGTCTTTCAATGATTTTTATTCAGCTGTGAGGCAAACCTTGGCCAGTGACATGATTGGGTTGTCAACAGAACAAGTTTTCACAACGTTCTTTTTTGTTTTTCTAAAAGTTGTCCGTACGACAAATAAAACATTGTAACCGTTGTTCACCGCCCTGTGTGATCTTTCCATTGGGAATACCAACGGATGAATTGGACACCAGGATGCAGTTCAAATTGATGAAATGGTGGCTCATCCAAATGTCCTCTTTTCCTAAGAATGCAGTCAGAGCTGTTTGGCCCTGACCTGGTATCTGTATTTGTGAATTTTGCCAATAGACAGGGAAGAACTGGGTACCAAGGATTATTACAGTTCATGAACCCAGTTGTCATGTCTTTACTGTCTCTCTGATTACTTCAGAAAACCTTTCTAACCTACAGTCCAGTTCTACATCACAAAGTGCATTTATCAAATGATGTAAATAGGGAAGCTTCCTCAATATTAAAACACATAGGAATGAAAATCAAAAGCTAAATTCATAGAATTAATATTTTTGCACATGTTCCAGTCTGATCATGAGGCTGAATATAAAGGATTGGGGAAGCAAGTAAAGAAAGAAGTAAGCATGTGAAAAGAAGGTATGAGAAGAGACCAGCAGCTAACATTGAAGGGAATGTAAAAGCCTTCATTAGGTATATGAATAGTTAAAACAGGATTGAAGTTGAAAAGGAACCAAAAAAGGGATTTAATACTTGGAGGCGGAGGAAATGGCTGAGATCCTAAGTACTTTGCACTTGTCTTTACCAAAGAAGAAGATGCTACCAAAGTCATCATGGAAGAAGGGTTAGTTAATGCGCTGGATGAACAAAAATCTCAGAAGCTACGTGAAAGGCTGGCTATACTGAAAGTTGATAAGTCAACAGAACCAGACCAGATTTGTCTAAGCCCCAGAGGGAAATCAAGGTGGGAATTAACAAGGCACTGGCTGTAATATTCCAATCCTCCTTAGACACAAGGATACTTGGCAGAGACCTGGAGAAATCCTAATGTTGCACCTAGTTAAGTGACTCAAAACTAGTCAGTCTAATTTCAGTGATGAAAAAGCTTTTAGAAAGTAAACAAAAATAACAATCACTTGGATGAATGCATATTAAGGAAAACCAGCAGATTTGTCAATGCAAATTGAATCCAATTTCATTTTTTTTTGATGAGTTAATAAGCAGGGTTAAGGTCAATGAAGATGATGTGGTGTTCATGAACCTCCAAGATGTGTTTAATAAAATATCACAAAATAGATTTGTCAGCAAAATTAAAGCCCATGCAAAGAAAAGGACGTGGTCCATTTTGATTTAACCCCTCCCTGTCTCCTTATCTCTCCCTGACCTCTGGTGGTCTGCATTGCCCTTAACCAGCTTTGCATGTAAACTAATCAATTGGAAAACACAAATGATTTACTGGTTAATAGGTGAAAATCAGTACTGGCATTTGGTGGTGGGAAAAGCTTGTGTGTGATAGCACTTTCAGATATGAAAAAGAGTGAAGAAAGAAAAGGACAGTGGCAATGTGGATGCAGCATTGGCTGAGTGATAGGAAGCACAATAGCGATGAATAGTTATTTTTTTCAGAGTGGAGGAAGATTTTTGGTAGGTTCACAGTGGTTGGTTCTTGATTTATGTTAATGGATTAAACTTGGGTTTCCAGGGATATAATGAACATTAAGGATAGTGGTGGATTCCAGCAGATATCAGTGGGCTGCTAGAATGGGTGGATATTTAGCAGATGAAATGTGATGCTGGAAGTTGGGGTGGCATAGTGGTTCAGTGGTTAACACTGCTGCCTTACAGCACCAGGGACTTGGGTTTGATTCCAGCCTTGGGTGACTGTGTGGAGTTTGCCCCTGTGTCTGTGTGGGTTTCCGCCAGGTGCTCTGGTTTCCTCCAACAGTCCAAAGATGTGTAGGCTAGGTGGATTAGCCGTGGGAAATTACGGGATAGGGTGGGGGCCTCGGTCTGGGTCTGGGTTGAATGCTCGTCAAAGAGTCAGTGTGGACCTGACGGACCCTATGACTTATTTCCGCACTGTATGAAGTTGTGAAATGGGAGAAGGAATATGGAGAGGCAATATAAAATTTCCATAATTTCTAAAGGATGTAGAAATAGAGGGACCTGGAAAGTTAGATTCTTTTGAAGCACGTGAAACAAATAAAATAATTAATAATCCTTTGGAATGTGATGCTATAACCTGACAAAGACTAATGGTACCATATTAATTTATGATGTCACTCTGGGCAGTGATGCAGCATTCCAGCCCCTGTGGTGCCCACTGGTTGTGGAAGGCCTTGAGAGTGCTACTGGACACTGTATGCTCCCTCACACATGGGCATGAACATAAGCAATGGAAGAGAGACTGGCAGTCAAACCAAACAGCTTCCTAAAATCCTGCTGCCTGGACCTGAACTAATGGCTAGTATGGCCAGACACATGAGCAAACTAATTAGGGTCCATCTGATATGTTTGTCTCTCCCTGAACTTGTAGTGAAAGATGAGGAGCATGGAGATGAAGTGCAACAAAACATTGAGCAGTGCAATTTCATACATCCTATGTTGACATGGGACACAGACTCCACAAGGCTGCAGGGGGTACCATAACTTGGGACTAATAAACTGACAGCCTTCTTTGAGTCGGATTGCTGCAAACAATACACTCTATATCCAAAGGAGAAGGGAGGAGCAGGGAAGAAAAGTGGCTGCTTTCCCTAAAGGGAACCCCACGGCCACTGAAAGCCATCCCCTGCCCTTGCCTCCAATTCCATTGGTCCCTTACACCAGGAATCCTCAAAAATTGGACTTACTTTTTTGCTTGTCATGGTCTCCAGTGTTGTTCAGCCAGCAACCTTGCTGGGTTTTTTTTCCACTTTTTTTCTTTTCTTTTCCTTTTTTTTGTGCGTGTGCTGGTGTGAGACACAGCAAAAACACCAGGTGTACAAATAACTTTATTAACATACCACCACCAGGAAAAACACCCATGTGACCAAAGAATCTGTATCAAGCAGAGCCCTTAGGGGCAATGCTTATGTGAAAGAAAAAGTGAAGGGGAAGGTAGGAATCAAATCAAAATAGAGTTTGTGGGGGAAATAAAGCACTCCACACCCCGCGGTGCCCACCCTTCCCAAAAGGCATTGACAGCACCAGTGCACCCCATGTGTCCCTTCTCCAGGGACACCTAGGCACAGGGAGCCTGGCTATTGGTGGGTCACTTACAGCATCTCATTGAACAGCAGCTTCAGGCAGCATGGGATCTGATTGGTTGAGAAGCCCACTGCTCACCATTTAAATGCCTGATTGGTTGGTGGTTTTCTTGTTGGTGGCACTTTCTTGCCCATGAAGACATCCAGCCTCACATTTTAGTCAAAGTCTCAGCCATTACGGCTGTCAGCTCATTCATTTTGCACTTGCCTCTGTATCGTGCATCCTCTTTTAGCACAGAGGAAGGAGCAGGCAGCTTGTCACTGACCAGTCAAGGGGGTGGTAGTTGTTGTACTGCACTGTGCTATGTCACTGTCACACATGCGCAAGTGCCAACAGCTTATGCGGCAAACACACAGCATGTGCTTCAATCAAATGACAATGGGAGAAAGTGAAAAGGGACAGTCCCTAGTAGGATCAGGGGAAATACTCATGCAGGGGCTGACACCAAAGTCATTCAAGTTAGTAACGGTCAGTCCTGCACATCATGTACGACCGATTCGAGGATTACAGATATCTCATTTGGGGTACTGTGGTGACATCAGTCCAGGCTGCCTGATTCAGCTGGTTGGAATTGATTCTTGCTCTGCAACAAAGAAAAGAGTGAGCTGCTTGATGAGTCTCAAGTAACCAATTATGGTCTCTATTTTTAAGTTTCCATTGTATATAAATTAGTGGTAAAGATAAAATATGCAAAATATACCATGAACACGTGAATAACATAATTCGATAATTAACTAAACTCACTAAGGATGACGATAGCTGATATTCAAGGCTGCAGGATTTAGATATCATTTGAGCAGCTTTGGCTGAGAGTTTATGAACTGAAGGCTGAATAATAGAACTGCAACACATCAGGCGAAGTGTGGGCGGCTGGGTTCCTTGCTCCATGAGGAAATTACATCCCACCAGATAGTATCTTCTGATTTGGTCAGTAGTCATGGACAGGAGGGTGTGACTACAGGTGAGGCTTGTAAGGGGAGCCACAAGGCGGGAGCAACGCCCATACTTCGCCTGATGTGTTGCAGTTCTATTATTCAGCCTTCAGCTCATAAACTCTCAGCCAAAGCTGCTCAAATGATATCTAAATCCTGCAGCCTTGAATATCAGCTATCTTGTCATCCTTAGTGAGTTTAGTTAATTATCGAATTATGTTATTCACGTGTTCATGGTATATATGTCCGATAGGTTGAAGGTTTTCTCGGCCTGTTTGGATGAGAGCCAGGGCTGCAGGTTCAAACTCAGCCAATTTGATTCACACCATGTGACATCAACAAATGGTTGGCACTGGATACTGCAAAGGCTTTGGGCCCTGACTACATTCTGCCAATAGTACTGAAGGCTTGTGCTCCAGAACTTGTCAGTCCCCTAGCCAAGCCCAAGTATATCCTGTACACAAAAAGCAGAATAAATCCAACCCAACCAATTACCGCCCCATCAGTCTACTCTCAGTCATCAGTAAAGTGATGGAAGATGTCATCAACAGTGCTATCAAGGAGCACCTGCTCAGCAATAACCTACTCAGTGACACCCAGTTTGGGTTCCACCAGGGCCACTCAGCTCCTGATCTCATTACAGCCTTGGTTCAAACATGGACAAAAGCATTAAATTCTAGAGGTAAGGTGACAGTGATAGCCCTTGAGATCAAGGCTGTATTCGATTAAGTGTGGCATCAAGGAGCCCACGCAAAACTGGAATCATAGAGTCATAGAGATGTACAGCGTGGAAACAAACCCTTTGGTTCAACTCATTCAAACTGACCGGATAATCTGAATTAATCTTCTCCCATTTGCCAGCATTTGGCCCATATCCCTCCAAACCATTCCTTTTCTTATACACATCCAGATGACTTTTAAATATTGTAATTGTACCAGCCTCTACCACTTCCTCTGGTAGTTGATACCATACACGCACCACCCT